GAGGCGTTTAAATGAGTCGCTGCGCTGAAGATGTTTAGAGCTCAATGAGTTCTACACATTCCGATCATAGTCTGTCATTAGTCAATAAACTGTAGGTGCAAATAATTCACTGCTATATGATATTTTTAATGCTGCTCTGTTACACCCCATCACGCTCTGCTCTGTTTGATGTTTCAATGACTAAAATGTCAATGTCAAAATTACTCTGATAGCCAATCAGATAAAAGAAGACGGGGCTTACCCTTAACAGAAGATGCATGTGAATTTCAACACAACGCTTTTAACCAACAGTGAAAGAGTGCGAGGTACAATATAAGTAGTTAAACATTTAAAGGTAGGGTAGGCAATTTTCGGAGAGGTTAGCAATAGCAAGAAGCGCTAGAACCGCCCCTGATTAAGAAAGCCATTCATTCTGGAATCTGACTATAGCCTAGTCGTTGCACTATAAACATGTACATGTTTTGGTGAATGTCTACAAGGTGCAGTAACATCAGCGTGAAAAAATGGTCCAGTGTCAACAGAGTAGAGATGTAAGTAGACCTCACACAGAATTCCCTTTCAAACCAAGCAGCTTTCAGTTGACCTGCGTGGCGAATTCGCATGACCAATTTGAACATGAGCGAAATCTGCGTGGAGAACTTTTCTGCCGAAATCGCCACCTCGTAAAATAGTTAGGCTTTATTTTATTCTGCGAAAACGGTTTGGTTTTACGGTGCACTTGTATTGCGGTGTCAGTCGTCCAGCAAACATATTTTAAGTCAGTGTTCTATCGGCATCATGGAAGCTTGCTTCCGCCATGAAATACAACTTTAAAAGGTAATTGCGACTATTTATCTCACAACTGTATTGTCTGTATTTTTTTCTGGCAGTTGCAAGTTTAGATATCTCGCAATTCGGACTAGATATAACTTCAAGAAATAAATTCAGAATTGTGATTTATAAAATTAAGAATTGTAAAATATAGCCTACAGTAAACATGCAATTAATAAAGGTTGTGAGTTCTCACAATTGCCAGTTCTCACAGTTTTTAACTCTTTTCCCCACTAGAATTGTGATATAAACTCGCAACTGAGTTATAAAGTCTGAATTGTGAAATATAAGCTCACAATCTTTTGTATTGTGAGTATTGTGAGATAAAAAGTTGCAAAAACAAACATCCAGAGCATCATCATGAAAAATGCACGCTGGAAAATCTGTAGGCCTGAAGTGAACTTAGTCCAGTAATTGGGTGAGAAGAATTCAGTAATTGCTCCAACAGATTCATAATTATTTTTGATTCACTAAGGTTCATAAGATTCACTCATCCAGAAACAGATTAGGCTACACCACACGCTGGATGTTCTTGATTCACTACAAACCAGCTCATATTAGTTGCTCAGGAATCAGATTACACTTGCTGGAATGTTTTTGCTGTATACTCAGAATATTTTAGTATGATGATCCATGCACATTCAATCTGCTAATAGAACCAATGCAAATCATTTCTTTCTGTTGTTTAAAATGTATCTATGTTCTCATCCCTATAGGTAGGGCTATAAAAGAACCCTGAAGTATGGTACAAAGAATCTAACAGAATGGGGTAATGAATGTGCAAAGGTTCGTGGAAAGAAAAGGGCTTTTGACTATTGAAAAGGACTTGTGAAGTTGACCTGGGGACTGTGTTGATAGTTGTAACCAGGGTGATCAAATACAGCAGTTGGTCATTTGTACTTTCCCTGTTCTACTATTTTCCGTGGATGGGGATGAAGGCACACAGGAATGGGATTATAAGCTTCAGAGTTGATGCTGATTGACACTTTGAACACATGGAGTGACTGAAATGCAGAAATGTGTGGCTTGATTGTGTGTCTAAGAAACAATACTCGTTCTTAAGAAAACAAAACCGTTTGACTTTGTTTATATTTTGTTAATAAAATAACTGCATTTGGATCCAGCTCTCCCTCGTTTTTTTAAATTCACCAATCATTACAAATGCCAGCATGCTCACGTTGTTGTCTGAATCAATAGCATCTTAATTTTAGTAATAGATTTTAATAATTAATTTACCCATTTAAGTTAATTTCTTCTTCAATGTATCTTCTGTTCTGTAATTGTCACAGACAAGTAGTGTCCACAGAAGTCTGAACACCATATTCCACAACGTTTTGATACAAGTGGTAACTCTTTAGTTTGGGGACCAATTCTCACTACTTGCATATTAGCATATTGGCTGTTCATTATTACTTATAAAGCACATATTAATGCCTTATTCTGTATGACCATATTCTACATCCCTTATTCTTACCCCATACATAAACTTAACCACTACAACAATACCTTACTATTTATTAGTAAGCAGTAAATTAGGAGTTTATTGAGGCAGAAGTCATAGTTGATAGTGAATATGTGTTCCCCAAACTAAAGTGTGACCAAGACTTTTTGTTTTGGACATTGGTAGCATTCCAAGTATTTACACAACATCGAGTATTTTTAAAAAGTGTGTGTGTATCCAACGCTATCTCACGACCAAGTCGTACGAATTCGTACGAGTGATTAAAAGGTGGCTAATTCGTACTAATTCATAAAACCTCACTTGCACGTGTTCGTACGATTTGCCTAAACCCACGTGATGGGTAGGTTTAGGGGCGGGGTCAGGGGTAGGTCATTCGTATGAATTCATACGAATTTGGTAACTCGTAAAATATGTACGAATTAGCAGGTCGTATGAATTAGTACGAATTAGCCACCTCGTAAAATTCGTACGAATTGCCATAAACTGGGCTATATATGCCAAAGAAAATATGCTATTTAGTATTTCCAACTGTTGGTCTCTAAAGTAAATATTGATAAATATTTAATTCATTTTCTGTCCACTCATAACAACGTAATAGTATATGGAAAAGGATGGAACTTTTGCTTTGTCTGGTTCATTTGTGTTTTTATGCATGCTATTGGGTACTATTTAACACATACCTTTTCTGGACACCGTGCTGACTGGTAAGAGTCCAGGATAGGAGGAAGAGAGCTGACATGATGAACATCTTCAGTTTTCATGGTCATAATCAGACCAGTGAGCTATTAAGATGTAAATAGGTCTATGTTAACACACAACATGGACAAAATACTTAAGTATCAGAGAAATTAAAAATTTGATGTGCTGTAAGTTTTCTGTAAAATATACACTTAAATGAGTAGAAATTAATTTGTAAAAAAACCCCCAAAATATTCAAATTTGGCTCTCAGTTGATATGAAGTCAAGATGCATTATAATTATAAAATGAATATTAGAATAATTTTGCATGGTCAACTACCTAAATTCATTATTTTGATGCCAACAAGGAATCAGATTACTTGCATTTCTGAATTACAGCAGCAGTGGGATTCCCATAATTTAGTTACTATCACATAGAAAACATTAACTTTAAATCTAGAAATAATTAAAAAAAACTTACCAGTTTAGCAATAAAAATCTGCGCTCTAAAGCCTTTGATTTTAGCCCTACTAACAATCAAAAGTTTTCTAAGTGACTTAAATATAGTTTGAAGAATCACCCCACAAACATAACAGCTTTTCTAACAAACAAAGTCTGTAAAGGTTATATATTTAATATAACCTAGCAATTTTCTGAATGACTAAGTATTTTTCTCTGCAGCATCAAACTCGTCTCCACAGTAAGAGCTGAAAGCGAAGTGTGGAGATTTTCAGGTCTGATCTGTGTTTAAGGGGTCGTTGCCATAGTGCAAGCTTACACAACCTCAGTCCCATTGATACCTTAAAGCCCATTCATTTCACTTTGTTCATTGTAGCCCTGTTGTCCTCAAGTTTTACCCAATTATTAAAGTAATATTTGTAAGAAAACCCCTTGTAAGGTCTGTAGCGAAAGACCTTTCACACTAACGAAATTCTAGCTATCAATATAATTAATAATTATATAGGCCTATATAATCAACTTTCCCAAAAGCAGCAGTGCTTTCCACACCTTATATATATATATATATATATATATATATACACATACATACATACATACATACATACACTGTTCACATTTGATCATTCAAATAGGCTAATAAAAAAAACATGTCTTTTTGATTTTATTATCAGAACCCTTAAAAATGACTTGGAACAACACAGCATATAAACACCACATTGCAAAATAAATACTGTACACGGCTGGTTCGTCGATCAAACAGTCCTTCCGTTCATATTACACACATACTTTTTTAACAAGTGTCGGATATTAAGTGTCTATTCTAAGTCTATCAGACAGTGTCATCTTCGACAGCTATTGTTTTCTGGCACAAAGGAAGGGCCGTGGCCTCTGGATGCATTTCACGGGTCGTCAATCGCTTCAAAACTTCCACAGTTTGAAACAAACATCTGTCGTTCAGCCCATCAAAGTGAAAACAATAGCAATGTGCAAAAAACACTACTGTTTCCCAGTCATTGTGTAAAGGTAACCTGCAAAAAATTCTCTGAGTGATCAGCAATAGCCTACATCTCAATGCAGAAAACATTCAGACATTCCCGTCAGTCCATTAAAAAAGCTGAGTTTGTGTATAGGACGCGTTCTTGCGTTCATTGTTGCGTTATGTGCACTGCGTCATATGGACGTTTTTGCGCAAACACGTTTAAATGGAGTGTCAAGTAAAAAAAATAAATAAATCAACTTTTAAAAAGGCTTAGCCTATGCATTCTGTTCCATTCCAATAATTTAGTAGAGCGTTTATGAACCCGACTACGTGTCCTGCGTGAATGGTAACTTTCACATATGACGCATTCGTGCATTACATCTCCTCTATTTTCATTTTTGGTCTATGTAAACAATGCGACGCATTTTTTTTTTTTCGTGCCAAGTTTTAAGTTGCCCAGGCCCAGTCACGTTAAAAATATTCCATTGTTGCGCGCCCTATTTGTGCGCCTTCCTTCGTTCCGTTTGTGTTGTTTTACACGTCAAAGGGTCACGAGACTTGCGTTTTAAGGCGGCGTGTCCAATTAATAATAGTTCAACGTATATATCATTGCGCTCTGTCCCGCTGTTTTTCAACGCAAGAACGCGTCCTGTGTGAATGACCCTCAGACAACATTATTTCTAAAAGCAAATTAGGTGACTTTTGAGTTTGACACATAACTCGTGGACTGAAGTCTTCACAGTGGACCTTTCTTTTGTGGAATTTTGAGGTCATCAACTTTTAAGATGAGGCAAAGATGACAGTTTATCAACTTTCCCAAAAGCAGCAGCGCTTTCCACACCTTTGAGCCACTCTTTACATTTCCTCATGACAGTCTCGTCCACGTCTCCATCCTCCTCCTCATACTCAACATCATCGTATTTGTACTGATCATTGAGGAGAGAGATCTTCACAATGGTGCTTATGTCATTGGAAGCGTCCAGTTTGGCAACAGGTCCGGAGCTCTTATTATTAGAGCTGCCCTGAGCTCTCTTGGATGGGAAAACGCGCCGGTGTCTCAAGTCCGCGGAAGCGCAGCACTTCTGTTGCTTGGCCATCATTTGCTTTTCCAGATTGCGCTTTTGGATGACTAGGATGGCTTCAGGGGTCAGGCTGAGGGAGAAGTGGATCTCTTGCTCGCCGCCTTCTTTTGCTATAGAGGTCCTGGAGGCGTATTTATGGCTGGACTCTCCAGAACTGGACCGTGGGACGCTTTCGCATGAGGTAGCCAAGGGTTTGGGGACGCTCAACCATGAATGTTTGCTGTCCGTCTCGGGATCTGGAGGGACTCTGCTCGGCTTACTTCGTCCAAGCTTTAAATTGGCCGACGGCCACGATGTGGATATTTTATCTTTCTCCGATTCCTTGTCGTCTCCTGTCCTTTGACTGTACGTGGGTTGAGGAGGTGCGACATTGTCCCTGCTCTTCTTTCTCCTGAACAGCTCCTTTCTTGGCGATGATATCCGTGAGTGCAGGTTTATCGGCGGAAAAGGCATTTTGAATGCTATCGATGCGCAAAATAATGAAGAAATCTGTGCGTGAATGATGGGAGAAATACGTCCATTCGCCTCGGTCCACCGGATCTTTGGATATTAGACGCAGTAGTCCACTGCACTCCACATCTCGCTTAGACTAACAAGGGGCGGGGCATCCGCGGGATTTATAATGTCAGGCGGAATAAGGGGCGTGGTCACAACAGAAAGGTTAAAACAACAAAGCCATGCGACAGTGCCTGTATGAATGTATCTTATAAAGAAGGTTTATTGCATTATACAATACAAAACAATACAGCCAAGTTCACACAAGTGTCCTAGCTTTGAAAACACATTCATCACATTAATGAACATGTCACCTTAAAGGGATAGTTCACCCAAAAAATGAAAAATTTGTTATCATTTGCTCACCCTTAAGTTGTTCCAAATCTGCTTTCTTCCTTCTGTTGAGCACAAAAGAAGATATATTACAGAATGCTGGCAACAAACAGTTGACAGTGGCCTTTGACCTCCATAGTAGAAAAAAACAAAAAAACACTATGGAAGTCAATGATCAACTGTTTGATTGTCATTTTTTCAAAGTGAATTATCCCTTTAAGACACCCGTAGTCTAATTTTTAACAGTATTTGTTTAATTAAAACCCAACAAACTTCTTTTTAACAAGATTTTAGTGTAAAAAACACTCACTTGCTAACCAATTTTACAACTTTGATGCAATGACAACGTAATGTAACAACTGATAAAATAATCAATATAACCTTGATTTTTGCTTCTTTTTTAAAGAAAATTATCAAAAAAAAAATTTTTTTGGTAGTCAGCAACAAATGCTGCCGATTGAATTGAATCTTGAATATGTCTTAAAAGTGTCCAAATGGTTTCTTTTTAATAGAACAACAGATTTGAAACAGTAATGTGTTGGAATGCAGCTAGCAGAGCTCTACAGATCCAGCCAACGGTACTTTTTTTTTTTTTTTTTTTTACTGATTGTCAATATTTTCTCCTTGGTGACCTTGGCGTAGCACAGAGGATGTTAAAGACAAGCAGCCTCCATCGGTATTGATCCGTCGCCCTCCTTTCCAGCAATTGGTAATTTCACAGTGACATCTGTTCTGTCACCCAGCCACTGCGAAGTGTTTCAGCCACAGTGAAATGAGGAACAAAATCAATAGGCTTATACTTACTGTCAAGAAGCACAAAGACAGATGTTTATTTTCACAAACAACGTCCATAGATTGCTGACAGAATGAAATCATAGAGCTTACAGTGAAGAAAAAAAACCTTTTATGCTAATAACTTTAAAATGATCCAAAGTGAAAACCGAGGGCGGATTCTTTGCCTGTAATTAAACACTGTTATGCGACTGATGCTTCAAAGCAGTCAAACCAAAAATTAATCATTCTTTTTTTTTTTTACTAGAAGGTGCAGGACACTATCGTTCATTTATGTAAGTGAGGATAGACAAAATAAAGTAAACTGTGACATATTATACCTAAAAATTCTTCATACAGTGGACTACCAGTAAAATGTATAAATATTTGGGACCAAAAATTAACCAGACACTTTGACCTGACCATATTTTAAGTGTTTTTTTTCTTTAATTGCTAATGCGACCCTTTTACACCACAGACTGAACAAAATGAAGCATTGCTTGGTAATTGGTTGACCTAAATTGGTATTGTCTAATTGTGTACTTAAATTTAACAGCTATTCAACCTAATTCATTTGTGAGAGTCTAAGAATGGCCAAAACAGTGACATATCAACTCATTTGATAACTCTTGAGTTCTTGTCATATTATTACCATTTTCTAAACTATAGCGAATAAACTGTGATAATGTGAGAAATGTTCAAGGTGTCTGAATACATTTTGGTTTGACAGTAGCTTTGTCTGAAGAGTATCTGTGACATAGAACGAAAAACGACCTTAATTTATTCCATTTCCAGTTGAGTTTACAACCTGATGTGCTGAATGTTCCGAGAGCTGATTTCATATATGCACTGGGAAAGATTTACATCAGACGTCCGTACACTATCAGATGAACAGCCGACATATTCTCACTGAATATGAAAGTGTTCTGGCTGAATGTGTTTTGGAGTGTAAAGCATCTTTCTCAGCCATAAGCTGGAGGGTCCACCAACAGCTGTACCCGGTATCTCACCACAGTAATGAACCGATCAGCACGTGATCAGCATTGTGCATAGAAGAGTGCTGTGGAGGAGGGATGCTCAAGAAAACAGAGGCTCCCACAGTTGTCATGGAAACCGCATCCGTCTCCTTGCTTGTGCGGTCTAAAAACAGACCAGCCACTCTAGGTTATTAGGTCATGTTAAGAACATGTGATGCCTGGAGGTAATGAACAAACCTGTATCTGAGCATGCAAGAGACAATCATAAGGGTTTATTGCACAAAAAGCTATTGTTTTGTAGATTAAGCACACAAAAAGAAAGCGAGGCATCTCCTGGAATCCCATCAGCTCATCTCCTGAGATCCAGTGTGGGGAGACAGCTGTCTCTGTTGCCCTGGGCACAGACAACCATCATTATTCTGAACACATCAGTCAGAAGATTATAACATATGACACATTAACTCCCTGTTCAGCAGGCGAAACGATTCCAAAACATCCAACGAACAAAGCATGAGTATTGTATTTATTTATTTGGTGTGAATGTTGCATCATAAGAATAGGGTTTTTCTCTTGTTATTATATTTGGTAGAAAGGTATTTTTCTGTACAAAAGTGAGCAGTAGTAGATTTCATTCATAAACATCACACGTAATAAAGCACTTCACTCCGTTTCAACTGGCAGTTTATCATGTAATCATCCGCCACACACAAAATAAAAACAACAAAAGCTTTAGAAAAAAAAAGTAAGGCTTGTAAGAAATGCAAATATTACATATTCACTCTTAACATTACACAATATTTTAAAAAAATGATTAAGACAAAACATGAACGTTTTTTAAGGTCTTGGAGAAGTTCTGAAATGAAAGAGAAAAACACTCTTGCAAGGCAGGACCTGTCGTCAGAAGGAATACTGGACACTTCAGCTCAAACAGGAGGTGAAACACTTCATGACAGCATCCCTGTGATAATGAAAAGACATTTGTTTATGGCTGACGGCTCAATGGAGTATTATACTGGGTGGGGGCTCACAGCAAAATCCACAGAAACAGATGGATAATGAAAATACTATGATGAAAATCATACTTAATCCTAAATAAACCGATAGCTTGCTGTTAATGTGGTTTATTACCTCAACATTCAATTTAATTCTTTGTTCTAAAAAAGGCTTGTTTTTTTCCTTTGTTGTGACTGGGTGGAGCTCTTGCATATTTGATTATGTTTTGGTGGGAATACATTGCATGAAAAGAAGCAGATCAACCTCATTTTCCAGGTACGGAGTACGGTTTATAAATAATGATGATTGTAATGCACTTTTCAGGGTATTCATTTTCCTAAAGATCATTTTATTAGACTAGTTTTGTCTAGAAACTAAAAAAAAAGCTTAAATGTTTCATTCAGAGAGTATGATTCTCTGATATTTTTCAGATTTAAACTTCTATTACAAGAAGTTGGTAGATTCAGTTAATTTCAAACCTCCTAAAGGCTGGCCCAGATTGACTAAACAGGGAAAATTAGCGTGAGCGCAATTCCAAAAAAAGCGCAGATGGGAGTGGAAAGTTCTTTGCGTGATCTACTTCGACGTGACGACAAGTAAATGAAAGAACACAGACGCAGCCGTTTCATTTCCAATAATGACCAACCAGGAGCAGCGGAAAATTAGCGTCTGGTTTAAAACATGCTTTTTTTCTGAGTTAAATAATGGCGCAAATCCTTGTAAATTGACTAGCGCAAACCTTAGTAAATCAACTTGCATGATTCAATTACTCTCCTCTCATATATTTTGCGTCTGAAAGGGAAACTCCTACAAACGAATATGCAATAAGATCAGCCGCAAATATAACCCTGGCCACGCCTTTTTAGTGCAAATGTTTCCACTGTGTGTCTTTAAACCTGACAGTAGTTTTATAACGGCTAAAGAGGGTTTGTGCTGGCGTAAGCTGTTAGTAAATCTGGCCCTTAAAATCTTATGAGATTTTCAAAATGTTGATTTTGTTCTTAAAGTGTGGAGTGCCACGATGTGACCCGTCTGGGAAATCTTGCAAAATCTTTCGCGGTCAAATGTGACAGTAGAATAAACAAACATGGCAGACGACAGGCAAGAATAAATGGCGCTAACAGTGTTTGGACTGCTATTTACAGAAAATTTGCGGGGAAAAAAGCGGTTTGGATGAAGTTGTGTTATTTTTCCGTCAGCTCGTTTTCTGATTGGAAATCGTTTCGTTCCACATTACAATCTACATAGTGTGGTTGCCTTAAGCCGGGCTCAGTACAGGAGTTTCAGGCCGATTAATGCCCGAAAACAATGCGTCCAGGGCATTGATCGGTTCCGTCGTTTGACACAGATTATCTGTTAATGTGAGGCGTTTACAGATCAAATCTTAAACCTCTCGATCTGCTTGTGGACACATGGGGCCGCCCCGAAAATATCAAACATGTCTGATATATAGGATTTTATATTTGGGATGATTACGACTATGATTGCAATGAGACGGAAGTGATGGAACTTTTAAAAAGGCGACAGCGAAACAACAAGCAGCTGTACGGGTCCGGTGGACAACAGAGGAGGAACGGCTGGTGGAAATGTGGAAACAACACGACTGCCTCTATAATGTCTCCTCGTATAATATCAACAGCAAGTTACCTGACACAGAATCCATTTTGTTTACATCCGCTTCCCCCGTGAGGTGCTAAATCTGGCATGATAATCTCAAGAATATCTTGTAGTGTATGATGAGCCACGATTTTCAAATCTTGAAGTGTGAAAAGAAAATCTGTGAAGATTCTCCTTATGTGCGCGATGCAAATAGATTTCACAATCTCTTAAGATTTAAAAACTCCTGTAGTCTGAGCCCGGCTTTAAATGAATCGACTGGAAAATTGCTTTGTGTCATCACTCAAATAAATATTGTGAATCGCATTCTGCATTAATTTACTGAAAAACCTGATTATAAAATAAAAATAAAAATCATGACTTGACAATTTTTTATGATATTTTTGCTGCATTTTATTTTTAGAGTAATTACAATAGTGGCTGTTTGTTTGAAAATGCTGGTTCTCTCTGATTAAGGAAAAGGAGCAATTCAATAATAAATATTGAGATGCTGAAAAAATTAGGACGAAAAATATTTGTATCTATATCGCCCAGCCCTGATATGGAGCTAAAAGATGAGGTAACCATCACGGTCTCCAAGGCAACAGCAGAACAAGGTCACGGTGCCTTCCTTGCCTCAGCCTCCACCCTTTTCCCTCTCTCCTCCGCCTCTGTCACCCTCTCCAAATGTGTTGCTATGCAGACTTTGTCATGCTCAAAATTCACAGGAAGTGGAGGAGGTGTGAAAGCAGTCAAGGTTAAAAGGAAGAGTATAGAATCAGAGAGAGAATGAAATAAGGACAGAAAAAGAAGGGAGACTGAGGAACGTTGGCATTACACGCACCCACGCGGCGATCGGGAGAGCGTTTGGTGTTTAGCCTTAAAAGCACTGCACATACAGCACATAAATAAATGATGATTAACTCCCCCTGTTTTCTGATGAAATATCGGCGCAACGGATGCCCCGGCTTTCCAGCACAGCGGGTGGATTTCCATCAAAAAAAAAAAACCTGAATAAGCCAAAACTTATGGGGGGGGGGGGGGGGGCGCTAAAACAACAGCAGAGACATTATGGGATTATTATTAGCATATTATTTCCAAAAATACAAACGTGTTATGTTTTTACTTGACACATAGGGAGATAACCGACGAGGAGGGGTAGATATTAGGGCTGGATCTCTTTTTTTTTTTTTTTTTGCAGATTCTGAAATTGGTTGTTTGTCATGCGTTTTAATGCATTATACTTTCTAAAGGTGTGTTCAATGAATAGATAAGTATTATAATGTATTATAACTGTGGTTACAATTATTCATGAGACCATACAATGCATTGTAAGGTGCATTACAAGGCATAATTACTGCATTACAAATACTTTTATAATGCATTATACATAAGGGCTTTAAGTAAACCCTAATGTTCAGCCTAATGTTTTCAATATCACAATATTTATGAAACAGCTCGGAAAAAGAGTTGTTTTTCCCAGTCAGAGGGACCATCATTTAACCCAAAACAGGGTTATTATCGTTAAACTAAAACTATAAAGCATTTTCCTTACTTGATAAAATAAACATTAACTGAAATAAAATAAAAACAACAGTTGTTTTATTTCAGCTATAAGTACTAAAATAACTTAAATGAAACTAAAACTGAACCTTTATATAGACAAACTTATACAAATACGATTTGTTTTACCTAAAATTAAAATGAAACAACTATTATTGTATCCGAAATACTAAAATAATATTCAATGGTCAATATTCAGTAATTCATTATATATATATATATATATATAATAATAACAACAACATTTATCTCTTCAGTTCATTTATTTTTTTACTAAAACTTTAAATATAAAAAAAAAAGTCACGCAGAGCATTTTTGAGGGATGTACTGTAAATCATTTAATAATTATAGTTTTGAATTGATTGAAATGGACTGTCTGATTCAAGGAAATGAATTAATCAAACCTACCTAATTTGTACTGTATATTTATTTTTTTGAAGAATGTTGGGATCCAAACTTCATTGACTTTCATTGTATGGAATAAAGACGAAAGAAAGTCATACAGGTTTGAAACAACATGAGGGAAAACTACGTTTAAATCACTAATAAATATAATCTTAACACTCGTATTCGAGACAAAAAAAAACAAAAAACAATCAAACTAACCAAATGACATGGTCTCTTGGAAACTTAATGGCTCAAAAAGTGCATTAAAATATTAGATTGTGGATATGCTCATGAAAAAACATGTGCACAGCCCAATGTTCAAAACAGAGATCAGTGGGATAAACAGCTCATGACGTGGAGCCTGCTCATACTAATCCAGTAAAAACAATGAGGAGAGCCCTCTAACCCACAGTTTTAAGCCACTCAAAAACAGCATCACTGAGCTTGTTGAAGGGTGCGGCTGTTTCTGGGAAAACAATCAACAATGAAACAATGGTGAGAGGGGCTTCTAAAGATGAACCGGCTTCTGATAAATGGAAAGATGAGTCAAGGGTTTGGTCTTAAAATGAAACGAAAGCAGCAGGTGGAATTCAGAGGAATTGTTTCAGAGGTTCTTGAAGCAGGGAGGTGTCAGGTTGTGTGTGTGTGTGTGTGTGTGTGTGTGTGCGCGTGTGGGGGGTGTCCTGGCTGTCAGAATCCATCAGAAACATGCACGAGCACCTCTGGCTGGAGAGAAGGGGGGTCGCCGGGTTCAGCAAGGGATGCAAAACGTTTTAACGATTCTTTTATATTTGGTGATCCAATAATGCTCAAGATTCCAGCGAATGAGGCGACCGCCGGCCCTAGAATGTATTATGTGTGTCGTAAGTTGTTTATGTTGCCTTCTTGTTTATGATAGTTAGTTTAGAGTGTTATCATAAGCTAGATTGCATTTTGTTATTTTCATTTCTTTTGCACCTCCCCTTTAAATCTTCTGGATTCCTTTTTTTTAAGGGATGTACGATATTGGATTTTGGCCGATATTCGATATGCCGATATTTTCAAACTAATTTTGCCCGATGCCGATATATTTGTATTTCTTTTAAGTGCAAAAAAAAATTATTACAGCTTCTATTAAAGTTCTCAGTCAAGAGCAGTGAGTGATTTCCTCTTTGTGTTGTGTTGTTTTATTAACATTTAAAGGGATAGTTCTCCCAAAAATTTTAATTGTCATCATTTACTCTCTCAAGTTGTTTTAAACCCAAATAAATTTCTTTCTTCTGTTGAAAATAAAAGTTATTTGGAAGAATGTGGCCAACCAAACAGTTGCTGTACTCCAGTGACTTCCATAGTGTATTTAAGCACAAGAAAGAAATTAATACAGGTTTGGAACAACATTAGAGTGAGTAAATAATGACAGAATTTTTATTTCTGGGTGCAGTATCTCTTTAAGGACAAGCGGCAGCATATTATAGATACTGTCTCTTTAAGAACTGCACGCGACGCGTTAATATACACGCATTTGACAAGCAGATTTTCTCTGTTTGCTTTCACTTTAGACATAACCGACTTTGTTTATGTAAACCTTGTGTGTATTTGACAGTATTAGCGCAATAATACTCGAAAGATAACTTAGTCCAGTATGCAGGCGCTGTGACAGGCTTTTAGTTCCTGTGAGCGTCGGGTGTACGCGCTCAGAAAAGCGCATGTTAGAACAGCGCATCAGCACGTGAATGACATGTTTAACTAGCAAGACTTTGACGCACATGGAAATAATGAACTTTTGTGAATTGCAGTGTCCCGTGAGTGTAACTCTACCTCTGCGTTTACATGTGATGTGATGTGAATGTACGTCACGTTGTACAGTATGTTGAGATGAAGGCGCCAGAATTGAACTGATAGAATGCACGATACTATGATTTTTCTTCAAAAGCAGATCGTGGAGACATTTTAATCATCCACGATCAAAAACCTGCTGGCGCGCTCCGTTCACGGTCGTCACGTGCGCATAGAAAACACGCCACCCTATCGGCAAGGCTCATCGGCAGTAATATTCATATCTGCCGATGCCGATAATGGTCATTTTAAGCTTTTATCGTCCGATACCGATGTTGTCCCGATATCATCGTGCATCCCTACTTTTTTTGTCATCCAGTCCCTAAAATGATTTTAATATCTGTAAACAGAGTTTGATTCCAAAATAAAGATTCTTGTTGTAATTTACACACTCTCAGTGTAACACACAAAGAGAAATTTTGTATAATGTTCATGCTGCTCTTTTCCATTGAACAAAAGCTTACAGTGTGTGCTACTGTATATTTCAAGCCTTCAAAAACAATATGCTAGCTTTTTGATGAACAGACCAAAACTCATTCATTATGCACTGATACATTTCCTCTCCACTGAAGTTGGACTACTTTAACGGTCCATTTATGGTGCTTTTTTTCTGTCCTTTTTGAAGTTTGAAACCCTATTTGCTTCAATGTATGGAAAAGAGCAGCTCAAACATTCTTCCAAGATATAGCACACTTCCACAAGGTGAGAGCCTACATTCTTTAATCATTCTCAGTAAGTTGCCACAAAAAAAGCCTCAAACAAAGAAACAGAAGCAAAACGACTTTAAGGTATTAGATAAAGACCTTTATCAGGCTCAAGATGAAAAACAAGCAGCCATTTGCATGGCACTGGGAGAGCAATACGCTCCAGTAGGGGATTAGAGCCATATGGTGAAGGCCAACAGCCGAAAGGCCATGAGTAAATAACAACATGTTTTCATTCAGGGAATTCAGCTCCCCATGTACACAACCCAATCCCACCCAACAAACATGAACTGAGAGAGTCACATGTCACAGTCTGACATGCTGCCATTTAAAGACAAACTTCTGACTTCCACTGAAGTTAACTGGGATTTAAACTGGCATTTGAGCTAATCTAGTTTAGCTGACTAAAACGGTTAAGTATTGCACATCAGTAAAGCCTAGGCTATATCAGGTTTAACTAGACGCTTCTGTGCAACTTTTTTACTAGTAGACTGTAGCACACATTGCAAACATAGCTCATCCAATCAGATTTCAGTGTTGGACATATCTATTCTATAAAATAATAAAACAATCAGTTCATTTTATTTAAGATTTTAGATCAAATGTAGGCAAAATTATATGAAATTGGAAGTAAATATGAAACATTAAGGAGGTATTTACTTACCGTGCAAATGGAATGTAGGAGATACTGTACCTAAAAAAACACAAAAATGCACAGTGTTAATACCTAATGTCCCATTGAAGGCTTAGAATAGATTCATAAACAAAATGATCTGAAAATAAGAGTAAATCCATAAGTACGTCAGTTACAGCTTGCTTTTAAAGTAATGAAATGATGTAACAGTAGATGTGCTTACATTGAGCTCATTAAAGTGTTTTTAAAAGAAGACACTTATGCTCACAAATGCTGCATTTATTTGACCAAAAATAAAGCAAAAACATTATTATTGTGAAATATTATCACAATTAAAAATACATTTTCTATTTGATTTAGCAGCTGGACCAATCAGACACACAATTAATTCTTTATATTTAATAAATAATCCAACAGACCAATAACCCAACAACAAAACTAAGTGCCAATATCCTCCTGAACACTAAATGTTTCTCTTATTTTTGATCTCCCCCATACCAATATAAAGCCCACAATCAATCAGTTTAAAAATCAAATACAAAACCTGTCCTAATTGAAAGAAAACAAGTAGACAAAAAGGCTGAAAACAATAATTGGTGATAACATAGCATAATGAGAGATTTATAAGCATTTTTTTTTGTAGGCTGGTCATTTTTGACCGCTAACACAACAAGTGTGACTTTGTCCCATTTTGATAAAAAAAGCATTTAAAAACAAACTTCCTGTTTAAACATTAAAGATATTCTGTACAATTTATCATACTAGTGTGCTTTAAAATTTTATTCAAATTTTTTTTTTAAATAAAAAAATGTAGGTGCATGAGCTCAGATAAAGGTTGGGGTTGTGTAAAATGAACAGGCTCATTGATTGAAAATGTATTTTGCTACATCAAGTTCATTTTATTAACTGATCCAAATATTTATAATGAATTATAACGAGTTATAAATATTTGGATCATTTATATATGGAAAATTATAAACTATATTAATTAAAAAGTATATTACATATGGAAATTATAACGAATAATAATTAATTATTCTATTTTCATTGAGCTAATTTGCTACATTGAATATACTTTGAAAAGGAATTTATTCTTGTAAAGGAAAAGCTGAATTCTCAGCATCATTACTCCAGACTTCAGTTGTCACTGATCCATCAGAACTCATTCTAATATGCTGATTTCAAGCTCAAAAAACCTTTCTTCGTATTATTATCACTGTTAAGGACATTTGTGCTGCTTATTATTTAAATGAAAATGTGATGCATGTTTCAGGATTCTTTGATGAAGAGAGTTTAAAAGAAAAGCATTTATTATTAATTTCTTTAAAAAACACACGCACGTGTGAATGCATTTTTAGACTGTATAATATTAAAATACAAAAGGACACCGTATACAGTCTGTTGTGTGCTTAGCCTAATGTTTCAAACGACTATTAAAAAAATGATTAGGGATTTGTTACACATAACTGACTTCAAATGAAATGCTAATGTGCTGACAGCTTCTCAAACATGTCTAGCATTAAGGAATCTTTCTTTCCTATTTCTCAGTATCATACACATGTGGTTCAGGAGGTTGCCAGAGTGATCGCTGTCAGAGGAAGGCTGTCACAGTGTGAAAGAAGAGAATGTCCTGACAGTGAAACTGACGGCAATTACATGGCTAATAAAACCTGGCCTATTGACGCGTGCAAAACTGGACACACACACAACCCCCCCTCCCCCCAACACACACACAGTGTTGTCCCTCTCTATTCATCGGTCTATCTATCAAACCAAACCAGTAGCCTATTTCTGTGCAATATATAATATATATAATAATATATAAGCTTCAATGTCCTAGGCTTTTTGAAACTTTTCTTAAACTTTCATGCAAAGCTTTGTCGAATCAACATTTAGGTTTTTTTGAAGAACTTTTCTAGATCAAACTGAGAGAAACCCTGAGTGTGATGCATATAAAGTTAGACATTTGGGTTTACTGCACTGAGCCCCGTCCACCTGCTTCTGCACCTGTGCACTGCTAGGCCAAGTGAAGGGGTCAAGACACGCTTAGAGGATCAGATTATTTCTGCTTCCCAGTTCCACTTAGCTGCTTTAGTGGCATGGCAATACTGCCCATCTGCCCATCTCTACCTTATATTCTGGGCAGCGAATAGCCTTTAAGAGGTCTTCAAGTGTGAACAAACTTAAAGGTGTCAAAGGTGAGTGGGTTGTGATGTCACTACATTGACATGCCTCATGAATATTAATTAGCTTGTGCTGCACGCAATCAGGAATTTTGCGTATGAGGGTGAAAGATTTACAGACGCAGATTTCACAACAGGTTCAATTTGGTCACACGTATATGCCGCGTTTCCCAACAGAAAACTGCTTGGTTTAAAAGTAGCTTGTGTGCGAATTGTGCTTCATACATCGGTACACTATTGACAACAGACTTTTTTGTTACTGTTACCTTAGCATACACCACAAATAATTATCAAATGCTTGCATTCTTTAGTTTGTTTCTTGGAAAATGTGTGTTCATAAAGACTAAAGTAAAAACATTTTGTCATCACACCAACAATCTACCTACATAATCACTCGTCTCATTTGTCACATCACTCACCCTGATCATGGGTTTATTTTTGTCCCATTTTCTCACCTTGCCAAGTACTCAACCCCCCGCCTCTAAATCTGCTGCCAGACATTGATGACAAACGGCACACATGGTTTAATGAACAGGTAATTAGCCTACACTAGTTGAGATGTCCAGGCAGAAAGGTTCCAGAGAAGAGCTGAACAAGCTGCCAGAGGTGCCCATATGCCAGAGTTTCCGCTAGAAAAAAATGGTGCCGGTCAAAGTGACTAGCGCTAAAATCAGTTGTTTTTGAAATCAAGCTGAGCGCTCGTGTCTGCTGCTATCAGTTGCATGGACGACGCGCTGCGCGAGTTGCGCGTTTCAATCTATCGCCGTTGCGGAGACTCTACACTCTATTATTTATTAATCCAGGCAAATTTGTTGAAGAAACATTCATTAAAATGAAGATACAATTTATACAAAACGAAATAAACTTTAAAGAAAGGCTTTCTACAAAACTAAATAAGTGGTCAAAATCTGACCCATTCCATATATTTTCCGATATATTGCTCATCTTATGATCCTATCTTACTCATCTCATGCGGTTCCCTTTTCATATAATCAACATAGATGAAATAAAAAAATAATAACATTATATTATTTATAAATATGAAACGTATGTTTAAGTTTTTTAATAATAAGCGTCACACCGCTCCGCTTTGCTCACATGCTCTGGTGTGTAGCCTAATGCATGTGTGCGTGCATTAGGGGTGTAACGATGCATCGATCAAACGTCTAACGATACGATGCATCGATACCACACCTAAAATATCGATGTACGGTACCTTTATTTTGACACACTCCACATCCTCACGTTACTTTTCTCCGCTGAAATAGACGCCTGACAAGATTGACTGAACCCTTTGTCACAAAAGCCGGTATTTTCCACTGTCATCTCGAGACTCGAGTTCATGTTTCACAGCAGAAACAACAAGCCCCGAAAAGTCTGTTTTAGCAAATCAGTGCGCAGTATTCAGGTCAGGTGACAAGGCTGCTTGTCACTTTGAAAATACGCGCTAGCTGAGAGGAGTTTCGTCAAAGCTGACTAAAAGTGATCGAGGATGGATTTCAGCGAACTTGATGAACCCGTGATATCTTCGTCGGGGCGTAAAAGTAAAATAAAAGCTGAAACTTTGTCACGGAAGCTTGCTAAAACAGCACGTTTAGTGGTGAGTGAAAAGCTCTCTGTATCGCGTGTATGTTAATCACAACAACAAAGTTTGACAGGCGTCTATGTCAGCTGAGGAGATTAACGTTACAAAGATTAACTAAGTGTTTTATTATGTATCATAGCAAATACTTGGCTTTGTTTAACTCTAAAACATGAAATGTGGAGTTATCTGCTTTTGCCACACAATAAAATATTTAAATCCTTTCAATGAACTTTATAACAGAATATTTCAAAAACAGATAACTCCGTTCTTGTTCATTTTCATATATCATGTTTTTTTTTTTTTACTTGTAACAAACAACTTGTAAATGTCCCAATTGGGAGAGGGTGTGCAATTTTAAAAGAGTTTAAATAAACTTTCTTGTTATATATTTTTGGATGTATTGTGAATTAATAAACGTAACTGGTTGTGTACACTTGGCACATAATATCTAAATATCGATTAATCGATCGATATAGCCCTGAATCGAATCGAATCGTAGAATTGTTTGAGGTATCGGCAAATATCGTATCGCTGGCTGAGAGAATCGATATCGTATCGGATCGTGATTAACTGTCCGATTTACACCCGTCATGTACATACATGATCGTGCATGTGGTGGAGGGGTGCGATTTTCGAATAATAATCAACCCAGCTATCTTCGAATATTATTTTTGCTTGAAAATTTCGTTTTGTATAAATTGTATCTTAATTTTAATCAATGTTTCATCAACAAATTTGCCTGGATTAATAAATAAGAAGCAAATATAGTGGACAATATAGCAGGACACGGAGGCGCCGGCGCGTGCACACTATGAAGTGTGCATTTCTCTCTATAGGCGCGTTCGCTACTGCGAAGATGGCGAGTCTGCATCGTCAACTTTATCAATTTATGAACAATTCAAATGTTTCATGCATAATCATTACTTTCGCCGGTTATTTGTGGCAAGCTTTATTTCAGGTGTTGCGTGATATCTCTGCGCCCAAGTATCAGTGCTTCGCCTGTGCTTCCAAACATGCATTTGCCCACCTATCTAAATGTAGGGGAGACCGTGAATAACCCCAATTTAAAAAAAGAAATGGTGGAGTGTTCCTTTAAGGCTAGCCTGCCTGGGCCTGGGCCTGGCCATATTTGAAACGTCTCACTCAATCGTTCGTTGTTTAGGTCTATATTACAGCCGTTCTAGGCGTGCGCTTTATTTGAAATGCTTAAATGTTTAATAACTTTCAAACGGTAGAGCCTGTTCCTTTATAACATAGCCAAAGGTCGGTGTATTTTTGCTTTATACATTTTAGGCTTATTCTCAAATTCATATTGTGTTAGGGGGGCGGGATTATTACGCAATTTTAATCGGACAATTTGACCGAAGAGATTTAATTTTGTCGGACATTTCCTTTTTTTCCCGGCCAATGTCCGGTAATTACCGGACAACGGAAACCCTGCCATATGCACAGCGCTACCAAAAGTGCTCAGCTCAGGTCTTAAGCTAGAGAGATTTAGGATTTTTGCCTAGTAGTTTTCCAGATTCCAGGCACATTCATGACACATGTAACACACAGTCACACAAATATCATGAGATCACATGAACAATGAAACTTTATCTTGAGATGAAAGGTTAACAGGCTGGGCTTGTGCATGTACATGAGGAAGTACTGTATGACAATTCAGATGCCAATCAGACTCAAATGTGTTTTTTTTCTCCTACCTTTAATCTGCAGAATCAATAATAATTAAAACTATTATATTAAAATTGATTATATCATAGGCTTACTTCCGAAAGAGTGTAAATGCTTTAAAAATGGTTTTCTGTTTGTAAGATCCATCTGACATGTCAATGTCTTCAACAAAGTGTTTTGGGGTGGGAATGGGATCTCTAATTATTGAAGAAATTACTACTTTTAACAATGAATATCGATCAATCAAACAGTTGATCGTAGCCATTGACCGTCAACTCTCTGGTAATTAACATTCTTCAAAATATCTTCTTTTTAGTCAAAAAAATTAAGAAATAAACTCATACATGCAGGTTTGGAAAAACATAAGGGAGAGTAAATGATGAAAGAATTTTAATTTTTGGGTGAACCAACTCTTTAATGCTATATCACATTAAAAACTCAATGTTTATTTTATTTGGTTACTTTTAAAGGCCAATTCACACTGCACCGACAGACGGAGACCAGTAGCAACAGACTTTGTCAAGTTTTGTTGGATCAGTGTTGTCCCTGTTGGCATTGGTCACCGCTTGTTTTTGCCGATTTAACATGTTGAGTCATGGAATATTTGAGAAGTGATGTACTGTAATTAGGGGTGGGACGATACAGGTACCTCACGATTCAATTCTGTGGCGATATGTGGTCCACGATATGATAATATCACGATTCGCGATATCTACGATATTCAATATATTGGAAGAAATTTCATCAACGATATATCACGATATATGTGACTGAAAAGAAAGATTAACAATGCATGTGTACATATTGAGAATTAATATACCGTAAAACTTCCCGGGTTTTTATTTTCCCAAATCGTCGAACTGCACCGGCTTGTATTCGAGACAGGCGTCTATATGAGACAGGCCTTTATAATTTAGTGTTGAGCTGTTGTTCATTGAGTTTAGGCGAGTCTCTAATCTCTAAAAATCTCGAAATGCTCCACGTGAAACTGCGGTCTTCCGAACTTTTACTATCGTGTCAATTGATTTTGATTAATATGCGCGAGGGAGAGAGAGCAAGACAGCGCTCGTGTTGTTTGAAGACGTGAGAGTGCGCGCGCGCGGCCGTTGCGCTCTCTCTGCTCGTAAAACCCGAAGTGTCTCCACACTTTAGAGTGGAAACTAGCGGGTGGGTCTTTGATTCGTTTTATATTGTTTTCCGCCATTCTTCTCGCTTCTCTCTGTTGTTGTTAGTTAACTTGTGTTCTTCACCGGCCGCTGTTTGCGCCACTTTACCCCTATTTACTCGAACAGCGCCCCCCGCAAACAGAATGGTAGATATTGGGTAGTGACAGTGACACTGACAACGGGTAAATTAATCATTTTGTGTTGTAATAAAATATCGATATTGGGCGTTAGTGTATCGATTATTTATTGCGACAGAGAGCACAACAATATATTGCAATATCGATTTTTTTGCCCACCCCTAACTGTAATCTGATGATTGTCCACATTGGTGCAGTGTGAATTGGACTTTAAGGTTTTATCAAGACAACATTGCAAGTTTGTCTCGAAAAACTTTCTATCAGTTCCACTGATAGCACACACAAAAAAAGAAAAAAAAGAAAAAAAAAGTGAACAAAAAAACTAATCTGAAATCTCTGACAAAAATAAAAAAGAGAGAGAGAAATAAAAGAGTTTATGGTATTTGTTTCAAACAATAATTATTTTATTATTTGAAACAAGCATTTTTTAAAGGATGGTTGACAAATGTCTATCACCTACCATGTCATGGCCAAGAATTGCAAAATGCAGAAAAGGATCGCCAGACCCTTTTTGTGCCACTGCAGGGAGAAAAAAAATGAGTAATGTACATTTTCTCAAGTGAATAGTACACTAATTATCAGCAATAAACCTCTTTTGTATGAAGCTTACCCAAAACACTGCGCATAATGTCAACACAAGGCATAGCTGGGGGAAGAGCAAACACAAGGTAAGAGACTGTGATCAAATACCCATGAGGCATAGCAAAAATCATTTTAATAGATATATACTTGCATTACATGTGGAAACAATGACCTATTAAAGTGCACCTATTATGCAAAATTCACTTTTACATGGCGTTTGAACATAAATGTGTGTGTACAAATGTGTGTGTACACAACCACCCTATAATGATAAAAAATCCACCCAGTGCTTTTTTTAAATCCCCATAAATCATAAGCACTGTCTCAGAACGAGCCGTTCTCAGATTCGGGGCAATGTGACGTACTTTTGCACAAGCCACGCCTACGATTGTTGATGGACACTGCAGCTTTAGCATAGACCCGCCCTGAGTGAGCTTGTGCACAGTCCGTCAGTGTTTCAACGCCAGAGCAGCTGTAGACAAGAATGTCTTCTAAGCGATTGAGGTGTTTTGTTGTTGGATGTAAGAAGAATGAACATAGCAGTCTTCATTTACTCTCGTTGCGACTCGGCTTACAGTCTCCGTTGCGATAGGCCAGACGTTACTGATCACGGCAGAAATGAAAGTGCGCATTTTGTGACAGCTCAATGAGTCGTTTTACAGATTTTTACAGAAGCACACACAGAAAAGGTGTGTATATATTTGTTTACTGTTAGTTGTAACAAGTGTTTTGTGTAATTCGCTGTGTATGTTGATGATAATGAAAGGGAGAGAGAGTATAAGAAGTGCGCATTAAAGTCTTATCCATAAACTCTGTTTATTCAGCTCTTACTGTGACTCTCTGGAGTTAAACTAACGCTTCAGCTTTTGTGTGATGTACAATAATCTTCATTAAACTCATCAGTATATTTTTGACCATCATTCGGACGTGGTCCGCTATAACAGGCTTGTACTAATAGTGGATAAAAGCAAGATGAAAAATAAGTTATAACCGTAATAAAACTATTTTGAGCTAAAACTTCACATACACACTCTGGGGGGACATCAGAGACTTATTTTACATCTTGTGAAAAGGGGCATAAATAGGTGCCCTTTAAACAGCTGATGATGTGTAAACAATATAGGAATAACCCAGATAATATTATATTTGTGAAATGAGTCAAATATCCATTATTCTCTTCATAGGTCGTGGTAATTCAGAGTAATTAAATAGCTAGTAAAGCACTTCATATTTTAAATCTATAATGAGAATTACAATAATGATAAAAAACATTTTAAGAAGGTCTAAGACTCCACACAGTGCCAATCATACTTTTCAGCACAGAAAAATGCAACAATCATTTGATAGTCTGGTTACAACAGCTTTATATCGTGCTGTGCTTGAGTGAGTGACTGAGTGTGAACAGATTCAGACCAAATCAGATTATAACGGAAAGTGATTTTCTACAGCAGTCCTTTGAATCTCTTAATGCCTCGTAGTCCCCTTAAGACCATCCAGATTTGTGACTGTAAAAGGCTGAAGCATTCCTTTAGCACTGCTAACCTGCGTGTGCATATCTGTAATGTCCCAAGCAAGCCGTTTCCTGTGTGTATATGCTGGTGTCATATCTCTCGTCTCATATTTATATGCCTGACACAATCAATTATACAGTTTAACACTCATTAGATACAAATATTTAATCACCTTTTTTTTTTAAATGTTTCGTTTGAAAAGTGTGCTTGTGCTATTTAAACCCATTTCACCTGGTTTGACACTTTGTTATCTAATACAATGACAAGGTAAAAAGAACATAAGGAGAATATCTAATAAGGATGAGTCAACTCTTTAGCTATGAGGTTAAATTTGCCTTTCTAAAATGGCTTTTCTCATTATCTCTCCAGTGCTGACGCAGTGTGGTGTGTGCCAGAGGCTCTTTCTTACCAGCATCATAATGGTGGCTATAATCCTGGTGGGCTCAAACATACGCTTCAGCTGTTTAAGTGGACCCATCAGAAAACAGGTGCTGTGGAAAAACAGTGACACAGAATGAGTTCAATTCGCAAGAGGACACGTGTTTCCATCGCTCACAGTAACACTAAAAGTGCATTAATAACTTACAAAAGCAAAATCATTTGTTGACTTTCTTGATATTTATACATTTCCTCCAAAACGACATAAAGGTGTCATTTTAACATCACTTTGACCAAACAATTTCTATAGCCAACCAGAGTGACAATGTTTAATTTAATTTTTGTTCTACTTTTCTAGATACCGACTGCTTACTACACAATAATGACTGTTCTGTCTGTCTATGCTATTGTGTATCACTCTGAGCTTTTTAGATACAGATTTCAACAGTAGTAAAAAGTTTACTGGGAAAAGTCCAACCCAGACTCACTGGATAAACGTGTCTGTAGCGGCATTTCTGCAAACTGATAATACATTGCGTCCAGCACGTTACAATACTTTCAAAGTTAACTTTTAACTGCGCTAAAAAAACCAGATGACCATGAATCCGATAAAATGTTTTAATACGTTGGTTGGTTGTTGTACGTATATCGGCAGTTCTGAATTGAAATGTCTGGTGAGTGGCGCTAAAAGGTTAATGCTCTTTCACGTTTGAAAATAAAGTCCCACCTACACTAAACCCTACACATACCCAATAGTGTTAATAAAAGCAAATGTAGCATAAAAACACATATTGACAAAAAATTTACTTTACAACTCGAAGACATTTTCGACGCTGTTAAAACATGTCAAGGACGCATAATCTAATGTCTAGGCAAATTTAAGACACATTAGAATCATTGTGATATTAATGTTGCTTATTTTTATACCACAAGCAAAATCAACACAAATATATAATATTACCCAGACCTTGGTTTTTAACCATTACAAATATTTAATCTCCTGACCTTAGAAAAGCAAAATCTTATTGATATTCATTTGAGTGACAGGAAGACACCAACTGCACAAATTAGCATAATTCCTAAATCCATACAGCCCTTTTATTAATTTATGGTGCGAGACATCAGTAAAATCAGTTAGCATTGCAATGACGCAGAAGGGGGTGCAGACTCACTGAGAGTACCGTAGATGGACTGTGCTCAGGTCTCAGGGGGCTGAACCCATCTACCCTGCATTACTCAAGCAACCTTAACCAGGACACTCATTAGATCACAGAAACACTAATGCATGAGCCAGCCATGATGTCATCCTCTCTCCTATGAGAACACGCATCTAGGGCAGCCATAATCTGACATTTTCTAACATTCCAAAGAAGAAACAGGGCTTGCTGTCTTGCTTCTCCTTTAATCTACAGTATGAGTTACTTCAAGCTAAAAGCAAACAATGAAGACTCAAATGATAAATGATAAAACATGCCCAGGTAATATTTCACAAGTAATGACAAACTTCAGTTCAGACCAACAGGTCTTTTCGATGTAAATGCAGAGCTGTAAATAAATATCATGATCTGAATCATCTTTTCAGTCTGGGTCACAGCCTTTAAATGAAGTTTCTGCTAATGTCATCCCTGTAGGCTTCCAAACCGCTACCATGACCAGAACCAATGTTGTGAGTATTTAAAGCGGGTAACCCAGACAGCATGACCTGTCACACTAAAGACTTCACCTCTGTCAGGACAAATCTCTGAATAAAGACAGAGTCTAGTTACTAATCAAACTAGACTGGATTTTTACTTAAGTGGCCGAATGGCTCAGTTTAATCATTTCTTACAGAGTTAAGGCCTTCAAAGTAAAAAAGCAATCTTCAGATATGCGGAGGTGCGGTATGGGAGAACGCCAGGGGAATTCTTCTGGGTCATTTTTACATCTCACTGCCCTGGTTACTAACTGGGTCTCTTCCTTCTTCCTACATCATTATTGGAAATAGCTGACCGCAAGAGTACATTGATACACCAATGTCATGCTTTTCTGGAATTTTAACTACATTATACACATTTTACACCCAGAACATTCCAGTATTTCACCCTAAACTCAAAAGCAAAAAAGAAAAAGAAAAAAGAAATTAAATTTACACAAACTTTTTTTTTCTTCAAAATTAACAATTTAAATAATGAGTCAATACATCAATCCTTCTTCCAACACACGTTTCTGCTTTACTCTGATACACTATGGTAAGCTTAATATAAGCACTAATATTTTAGACCACGCGGGATGGTTTTCATGGGAAATTGCGTACTTGTCACTCGCCAGTACGTGACTTATCATATATGTAAATAGAGAAAAGTTGATCCGGCTACTTTGACGTGTATGGTGTGGGAGTGGCAGGCTATAAAAAAAATAATAATAATAATAATAAATAAATAAATAAAAAATTACTCCAAACAGAATCAGTATTTTAACGTTTCTGTTCATGTGTTCCTTCTGTAACATTATAGTTCCAAAAACAGTTTGATTAGGAAAAAAATACCGGCAAAACCCGGTAAACACACCACCCTGGATATAACCTGCCATGGTAACATATTGTTGTAGAGCTGTGTTGGAATTTATTTTCAAGGAAGTACCGTGTCTAAAGCTACAGTAATACTGCTAAATGAGTAAAGCTACAGTAACATCTACAGCTAGTCAGCTTGAGATCCTTTCCTTCTAAACTAGTTATATTTCTTAAGCCTAGTAGTGAATGTTTTATGAGCAGTAGGATAATCTCTCTCATTTTTATGAGAAAGAGCCATATTCATCCGCAGTCAAGTAGAGCCGAAGCATAACCAAAACAATGTTCTTTTGCTAAATGCATGCAGTTGTTTCTTTTTAACCGCTAGAGGGCCAAAAGCTACATAGTGTACCTTCAATTATATTATTATTATATATTTGATTTTGTATTCATGATGGCCATGGTATGAGCAGCAGGATACATCTGGCCTTGACGTCTTCATGCAAGAAGACCTAGTTTCTTTCTCAATGTGTTATATCTTTCCTGTAAGTAATAAAAGTTGGTGACACCTGTACTAAACACTGAAAAATTAAACATCAGCTGTGTTATGATGAGGCCTGTTGGGTATGGTGTGTGTGTGTCTCTCTCTCTCTCTCTCACTCCTGCACGCCCTAATTGAACGTGTCGGTAACGTGTCCCGTGGTTGGCCAAGATGGAACTGCGCGTCTTTAAAAAAAAGGAAGAGACGTGGATCTGGCAGAGAGAGGAATGTTGTTCATTGCGCTGTCGTTGAAACTGTTGTTGTGTTGGAAAGAGAACTAATTCCGTGTAGTGACTTATAAATACTGTGTTATTTATTTTCCTCTTACGTTATTTCCCCTGGTTTGTTGTTCTTTTCTCATTTATTTTGTAAAGTTTTCTGTAAATGGTTTTCTTTTAACACTCAACGTGGCTGAGTGTTATTATAATTATTGTAAATGTCACTGCGCGTCAGCACGGAAGCCGTAGGGGTTGGGGTGCCACTTTTTCTTTGTTGTGAACATATGTTTCCTCTCGTTTTGTCTAGTAAGGGAGTCCGTTTAGATTCTGTAATTTTGTTTAAAGGTTTTTCTTTGTTAGGATAATAAGTTCTTTAAAAATAGGTAGACTCAAGTTTCGTTATTTTGGCTTCAACCCAACCCTGAAATTAATTTGCGTCCTTTTGATGTCTTGGGCTGATTGTATTAATTTGAACAACTTGTTTCAAAATAATAAAAAGAAAGAAACAAGAAGTCCTGTTGTAAAGACTTTATTTATGTTATTGTCCTGGACCCTAGACCTGGGACGTAACAGCTGATCAAAAAAAAAAAGACCATGCAGAGAAAATTCAACCTTTCCACTTAAAATATTGCACTAATTCCAGACACTGTTCAGCCTGCTGGTGATTTCAGAGAACCAGACAGACCTGTTTCAGTCTTTGGGAATAGAACATCTTGCCACATGGCAACTTAACAACATTGTAAGAGGAGCCCCACTGAAAAGACAATGCATGTCAATGGGAGCCAAAGAACATTTTTGAAGGGAAGTTACAAGTGTCTGAAAAAAAAAGTGTTATATTCTCATCTTTTTAGCCGATGGATTGACAAAGCATTCAGCAATCGCTAACAGATCATGCATAATTCAATTTTCACAAAAAGGATAGAACATAGAGCCTAAAAAGGTTTTTTTTTTTGTTGCACCAAATGGTCTGTGAAAGAAGGTGCTGAAACTTCAGGAAATAACAAATGAGCTGTTACTTTCAAAATGATTTTGGTAACACTTTACAACAAGGTTCCATTAGTTAATGTTAGTTAATGCATTGAGATAATGCATACACTGCAACAATAAAGCAATCAAGCAATTTATAGATGTGCTATATAGTATGTATGCCCTACAAAAGTATACTGCATGTATGCTATACTATCCAATTTTATATAAAGAGCTGTGCGATAAGTAACAGTTACATTTTGCAGTGAAATAAAAAATAAGTCAGGCAGTTAAGACTTGCTATAAGGTAGATATCGCTTTACACGAGTATACTTTATGCATACGGAGAAAAGGGTAACAGGACTGCAGATTTAACCAGAATTAAGCGGTCACTCAATAGCGGCTGAACAGTTTGGGACCAAATGTTGTGGTTATTGATTAACATTCCCATAAATTAAAGATATATATGATTACTACGATAATCTTGGATAGTTTGAATGGTTGAGCCTGCTTGCAAACACTAAAATGTTATGTCTGCAAAACTGTTACTATTTATTTATTATTAAAAAGTTTCACTATTTGTTCATTTTATGTTAGATAATAGTTTATGTAACATACCTAATCATTTTCCCAGAGAAATGTGGGATTTGTGTCTATTACCTGCTCCATTAGTAGTATTTAATATGCAGTAAATCACACCCACAAAATAATGACACTGAATCAACATCTAAGAGACCGTGTCATCGTATGCATGTCCTATACGCAGCCATAATTACACTTACCTTGAAATTGCTGCAACGTTTCCAAGGGTGTAGAATACAGCAAACAGGTTCATGCCAGCTTTAGGCAAGAAAAGGAGTGCAGTTCCCTGTTTCAGAAGATGTAATGTGGCTTGTCAGTCTTTTTCCAAACATTTCAATCAAACAAAAATGTCTTGTCTGTTATAAAAAATAAAATCATTCTGATGTACAAACTCAGAGAAATTCAGAGTTTGTAAATGAACACATTAAACAGTTGTGCCACCTAGTGGTGTTACAATGCTTTGGCATAGAGCACTGACTAGACTACATAAAAATACAGAGTGGGCCCAAAAAGTGTTAGGACACTTAATTACACTTAAAACTGTATGAATGTTGTTGCATCAGACAACAAAATATCACACACAGTGGCATGCTAAATGATTCTTGAGCTTTGACTTGTCTAGAAACAGGTGTCAAGGATTTTTACTGGATGTATGATTCATGCAGCTTGGTATATTGTACAGCAGTCTACTTGTAGTTTATGGTCGTTGCTGTAGGTGTTATCAGTAATAGTGTTATCACTCTACTCTACTGCGGCCAGACCACATACAAACTGAAAGTAGGAACAGGGTGGCGTCATTAGGGCGCACAGTTCACCCATTTGTGATCATGGTTTTACATGTGTTGCATTGCATGAAATGCAAGAACCAATGGTGTGTTGCTGTCAATTACCCTATCTTTTGTGTGTGTGTGAGAAACCAAAATCTTAGCAGTTATTCAAACTTCTCAAATATTATTTATGATCAGGTATTTACAAACTTGCCTCAACTTGCCTTAAACTCAAGCGTGAATGAGATTTGTTGGGAAGATTAGCTTTTAGTCAAACAAAAATATTGTATGGCTTCAGGAAAACATTTAATAGAAATATAGTGGACATGTCTTTATAGACTACTTAAATTGTGTGTGTTTTCTGTTGTTGTTCTTTTTGGAGCTTGGCAGTACAAATAATAACCATACAATTTTGTTGTTTGGAAAAGAAGAAAAAAGAAGAAAATAAATTGGGGTTGAAACACCATGAGGGTGAGAAAATGAATTTCATTAGGGTGAACTATTCTTTAAAAGGGACATATCATGAAAATCTGGCTTCCCGTGTTTAAGAGCTATAATAGGGTCCCCGGTGCATCTACCAACCCAGAAAACGTGAAAAGTGCCAACCCAGTAACTTTGTTTTGGTGAGCCTTTCTCTGAAAGCATGTCAAAAAATAAGCCGATCAGATTTCGCTCCCCTTCTACCGTAGGAAGAGGATATTAATACAATATTACCGCCACATAATCTGCACTTTCCACCCATGGCGCCGCCATTTGGTTTTCACAAGCGACAACAGTGTAACCAGTTCTAACGCAATGGCAAAAGTTCGAGCAAAGCATGTACTGTAGTTGGCTGCACAGACGAGCACTAAACGCTATTTGACCAAAAAATGTCACAGCTGTCTTATAAAGTGAACTGTATCAACTTGTGTAAAACTTAAACATGACGAGCGAGCGTACATGCAAAGTCGATGAGATGAATCAATGTAACCACAACAACTACATAAAAGTATCCACTAACCATTTAGAAACGTCCAGATGCGTCTAAAAGTTGCAACCTCTTCCTGAGTCTCTCCATAAGACTGCACTCAGCTAAGGGTTATTTCTGAGATTGTGGATGAGTGAGATTATTTGCGTGTTTTGTTATTGTATCCGAAGCTCGTGTAAAGTATTGTCCCTCTTCTGAACGGGGCGGGGAGCAGCAGCTCATTTGCATTTAAAGGGACACTCACAAAACTGCACGGTTTTGTTTTACACCCAAAAAGGGGCAAATTTGACAATGAATGTTGTTGCATCAGACAACAAAATATCACACACAGTGGCATGCTAAATGATTCTTGAGCTTTGACTTGTCTAGAAACAGGTGTCAAGGATTTTTACTGGATGTATGATTCATGCAGCTTGGTATATTGTACAGCAGTCTACTTGTAGTTTATGGTCGTTGCTGTAGGTGTTATCAGTAATAGTGTTATCACTCTACTCTACTGTGGCCAGACTAGTGTTGTCAAAAATATCGATATTTCGATAAATATCGATACTGAAATATCTGAACGGTACCAATACTAATTTCCCGAAGTATCGATACTAGCCGAGCAGTCACTTTCACTTCTCTCAAAAGGCGCGTTGACAAACACCACACGTGACGCACTCGTCTCATTCGCTCTGGTTAAATAGCAAAAGTGAAGTGAATGGAAAGATGGCGAGGGCGGCGCCCCCGCGACCGGCTTTGGTTGATTGATAAAGAACACCGCGAGCGGGCATGTCGGAGAATAGCGCGGACACGCGTAAAAAACACACCGCGAGCGGGCATGTCGGAGTCGGAGAATAGCGTGGACACGCGCTACACACCGCGAGCGGGCTGCGGGCACCCAACAGATTGTTTGACTATCAATAATCCCTCACATCACTCATTTTTTTAAATTATTGTATAGGTGTAAACAGACTTAAGGAACAGGCTCCAGGGGTAGGCTACTATTTAGCAGCATGTGCTCAGCATCAGGGGTGTTTGTTGTTTGGACAGACCTGCCCCCACTGCTAAAAAAAGTCCTCAAGGAAACACTGTAACTCTTCTCATTTGAACTTTTCTGAAACATTAACCAAGATGGCCTAGTATTGTTGTTGATAAGAGTCTGTGTTGTCTCGTTTTAATTCTTAAAGTTAACATAATCTGACTGAGGAATCTTAGACAAGTAAATATTGTAACTGTGGTCAAATGTAAATTAACTGGTGCCTATTTAACTTTATTCAAAAATTATTATTTAATTCTGCAATTTTCCTTCATTAGCGATTATCATCAATTTGATTACACAGATATTAATTAAACTAAACAGCTAGACAATGGCATCTCTGAATTCAATAATGACATGCCTTTAACTGAAAATTGAATGTTTAATCTTATTATTATACATTACTGACTCTCTATCCTCCAATTTGATACTGTTAAGTGCTTTTTTGTTACAGTATATTTTAATCTTTGATAACAGTAGGTAATAAAAATACATCATGTTAGCTCTGGTCCAATTAAAAAATATAAACAAATAGAACTCAGGACATTTTTGTTCATGTAAAATATACCTCATTGTCATGTTCTAGACTTGTTATATTTAGCTTTAAATTAAAAAAATACCCCCTTAATATTGTGGCAGTTTTTTCTCCGTGGTATCGAAAATGGTATCGAATATCGATATTTTTCAAGGTATCGTATCGAAGTTAGAAATTCTAGTATCGTGACAACACTAGGCCAGACCACATACAAACTGAAAGTAGGAACAGGGTGGCGTCATTAGGGCGCACAGTTCACCCATTTGTGATCATGGTTTTACATGTGTTGCATTGCATGAAATGCAAGAACCAATGGTGTGTTGCTGTCAATTAGCCTATCTTTTGTGTGTGTGTGAGAAACCAAAATCTTAGCAGTTATTCAAACTTCTCAAATATTATTTATGATCAGGTATTTACAAACTTGCCTCAACTTGCCTTAAACTCAAGCGTGAATGAGATTTGTTGGGAAGATTAGCTTTTAGTCAAACAAAAATATTGTATGGCTTCAGAAAAACATATAATAGAAATATAGTGGACATGTCTTTATAGACTACTTAAATTGTGTGTGTTTTTTGTTGTTGTTCTTTTTGGAGCTTGGCAGTACAAATAATAACCATCCAATTTTGTTGTTTGGAAAAGAAGAAAAAAGAAGAAAATAAATTGGGGTTGAAACACCATGAGGGTGAGAAAATGAATTTCATTAGGGTGAACTATTCTTTAAAAGGGACATATCATGAAAATATGGCTTCACGTGTTTAAGAGCTATAATAGGGTCCCCGGTGCATCTACCAACCCAGAAAACGTGAAAAGTGCCAACCCAGTAACTTTGTTTTGGTGAGCCTTTCTCTGAAAGCATGTCAAAAAATAAGCCGATCAGATTTCGCTCCCCTTCTACCGTAGGAAGAGGATATTAATACAATATTACCGCCACATAATCTGCACTTTCCACCCATGGCGCCGCCATTTGGTTTTCACAAGCGACAACAGTGTAACCAGTTCTAACGCAATGGCAAAAGTTCGAGCAAAGCATGTACTGTAGTTGGCTGCACAGACGAGCACTAAACGCTATTTGACCAAAAAATGTCACAGCTGTCTTATAAAGTGAACTGTATCAACTTGTGTAAAACTTAAACATGACGAGCGAGCGTACATGCAAAGTCGATGAGATGAATCAATGTAACCACAACAACTACATAAAAGTATCCACTAACCATTTAGAAACGTCCAGATGCGTCTAAAAGTTGCAACCTCTTCCTGAGTCTCTACATAAGACTGCACTCAGCTAAGGGTTATTTCTGAGATTGTGGATGAGTGAGATTATTTGCGTGTTTTGTTATTGTATCCGAAGCTCGTGTAAAGTATTGTCCCTCTTCTGAACGGGGCGGGGAGCAGCAGCTCATTTGCATTTAAAGGGACACTCACAAAACTGCACGGTTTTGTTTTACACCCAAAAAGGGGCAAATTTGACAAGCTATAATAAATGATCTGGGCTGGGGGTATTTTGGGCTAAGATTTCACAGACACATTCTGGGGACACCATAGATTTATATTACATCTTGTGAAAAGAGGCATCATATGTCAGCTTTAAAGACTAAGGTAACAACAAATGAAATGACTGTGGGTCTTGGAAATCAACTAGGCCAATATGAGAGCATGGCAGATGAAAGAACAAATTACTGGACAGATAAAGACCTTAATGGGGAAATAATGAGAAAAGTTAACTCACAAGTATTGAGCACAAGATCCCTGATGCGAAACAAATGACGAACCACTTCAACCGTGTGGTGAAACCGAGTGTTGTGCCGTCCAGGATCTACAGAGAAGAATCACAGGATGTCACATGGTTCATAATGCCCCACCAACAAAGACCATAAGATCATGCTTTTAGCATGCTGACTGCATCTGATTCATTAAAATACCACTGACCCACAGGAAGAACAAGACAGGAATCAAATGTGCTATTGTTCTTGCTTTTCCATATAAATGGACACATGCATGTATCAAACTAAATTAACAGGATTTGCTTAACTGAATATCTACAAAGAACACATCACTGCATTTTTACTGTTACAGGATGTTTTCATAGTATTAAGTTTCATCATGGTTTCATCAATGAAAATATGATTAGTCATGATATGAACTCTTTTTAAGACACTACTACTGTATGTAAAACATACCTAGTTGCATTTAAAAGGACAAAACAACTATAGAGAGGGTAAGCAACTGTTTATAACCCAGTGTCAGATATTTCAGAGAATAAAACAACATCCGGAGGTCATGACCTTACCTCACATGATCCTTTCCCTCAGGAAGCATGTAAAACCAGCAGTGTTAACAAATATCATTATCACATAAACATTTGCAAACAAATGGGTGCAGCAGTAATGTTCAAAAAAGAGCAACATTACAATGCAATCACTTTATGTAGACAAATACGCCTAACAAAAATGTACTCTGGTATTTATATGATTTGTTATAGCATGGTGATATCATGTTGTTGTTTTTTAACTCCGTAACGTTAATGATGGTAATACCATCAATCATAGTATTCTTTGAAGGACACTAGAGTATCATGTTATATGGATATGGTAAGTTAATCATTCACGTCCATTGTATTACTGGTCATCTAGCATCATAGTACTTTCGTAAGAACTAAAATGAAGTTAAAAATACCAACGCTGTCAAGTTACAGTACTAGACAAACTCTGTGGGGCCTCTCGATTACAGACGCAGAAAAACTACAAATAAACACACGTTTAACGTTACTCTCCTAATACCTGAGCTGTAAGTCCCACTTCTTCATTCTCCTCTCGACCACTCAATACACGACGCAACTTGTCCATCGTTGCTCGTCAGATGAAATATCGTTCAGTTGAAATTATCCAACACTTCCTCGAAGTTCAGCATTGACACAAATCAGACGTTACTTTTCCCCGCCCGTATTCCGTGAGCTCCGCCCTTCATCGCACTTCTGACTGATATGGTTGGGCGTACTATAATGAGTGACTTCTAAACTACCCAATCGTAGACAGATTTGGAACATCGATAGCCAATCCTGATACAGAAGGCGGGCATTGCAAAAATGTAGGTGGAACGTGCATGCGCAGCCGCAGATTTTATGATCTTATCTGTCGCTTTTTTGACGTGTTCGACCGTGTGGACAAGACATGCTCGCGCAGTGGTCTCAAACTCAAGGGTTTAGTCCCAACCAACTCGCCTGCTTGGACGTTTCTAGTAATCCTGAAGACCTTGTTTAGCTGGATCAGGTGTTTAATTAGGGTTGGAGCGAGGGAGCTAAACCAAAGAACCAAAAACTTGGCTATACGACTTTGGCTAAACTCTGCACTGCCCCCCCTGGAATTGAGTTTGAAACATTTAAAATCGACAAACAATTAACGTTACTCAATTTAATTGCTTTCGATTTTGTACCGTTTGTTTTTTGACTCCAGTCGTCAGGATGGAGAAAGTAGGTATATGGTGTCTTTCTTTTTATATTCCTTCACTATTAAAAGCTCACGACACATTTGTAAGGGAATCATTTTCAAATGGACACAAGACTTGAAAATATCCCTTCCACGACCATGTTATGAATATGTTAATGCAGAACGACTGGTCAGTTGCACACAGTCTAGTCTATAACCACATACATTTCAAGAAATGACATGGTCCTCATTTACAGTAGGCTAAGACCACATTCGGTCCATGCATATCACACAATAAAATTTACACCAGTTTGATCACATTTTTATGTATTTTCTTTCTTTATTATTATTTTTTTTTTGGTAGGCCTAGATGCAAGCCAACACAGAGCATAAAGTAATTATTTCTTTAGCAAGGACAGATCCTATACTTTTGCGGTTTGGTAGGTAGGCTATCACTAGTCACTGTCTCTACACCTGATGATCAGCAGCATAAACTGTGTAGGCTAGTTTAGTTTAGCTAGTAGAACCACTGATGCACTGACATAAACGTTCCTGGGTTTTGTCAAAAAACAAAACAAAACAAAAAACGTCCACCACAAAAACCTAAAGCTTCATATTTCACATGTAAAAAAAATAAGCCACATCAGCCGGCAAAAGACCGAGTGTTTGGCTGAAGGACCTCACAGACCAGAATGTGTTTCTCTGGGACGGTTCACCCAAAATGTAAAATTCTGTCATCATTTACTCACCCACATGTTGCTCCAAGTTTGCGTTGCCCAAAAGCATTAGCCAACTATGGTCGCAAGTTCCGTCGTTATCAGCATAGTTTAACGAGGCGGTGCAAAGAGCATCGCAAAGTGTCGTTGGAAGGACAAGTCTCGACCTGTAGCCTAGTTAGAAGCTTTAGTTTCATGTTTGCATGACATGTGGGCTCAATAAATCCTCATATTGAGCCAAATAAGCAAGCTGACCTTCAGTACAATCCGTAGGCTATCTTTTATTTAGAATAGGCCTACATAATGTCATTTAACGTTACGTCTTTTAGTTAGTCAGATTTTGCGTCGCTTTCGAAGCGTGCGCATGTGCGTAACGTACTTTATAACTGCTACCATCAACTGTCAGTGGTTACCAACATTCTTCGAAATATAGTCTTTTGTGTTCAACAGAAGAAATAAACTCATACAGTTTTGGAACAACTTGAGGGTGAGTAAATGATGACAACATTTTCGTTTTTGGGTGAACTATCCCTTTAGCAGAGCTTCATTTCGGAAAAGGCGTTGATCATATTTATTAAAAAATACAGGACTGGTCTTCTAGAGAGTCTTTTTTTATCATACAAAATTAAGTTTTTTTTTTTTTCATCTGTACTGATATCATTTAACTTTCAGAGGCTTCTACAAATTGTGTATGGCATGCAAATAAAATGTCAGATTATTCTTAATTAAGCAGAGTGCTATGTGTGGACAGCAGATCTAATACATGGTTATTAACTAATGCATAGGTAACTTGGGTTACACTTTATTTCGATAGTCTAAATTAGACATTCTACTATTAGTAACTTTGCAACTACATATCAACTAACTCTCGTTAGAGTATAGACTGTTCGGTGTTAGTGTTCGGGTTAAGTTGAAATGTAGTTGCAAATATTCTGTATATGTCTGTTGGAGAGCATCAAAATAAAGTATTAGCAGATAATGAAGTAGAATACTCCAATTACTGGTGGTAGTTGACATGTAAGTTGCAAAGTTACTTATAGTTAGTAGAATGTCTAAAGTGGGCCATCGAAATAAAGTGTAACTGCAAGTTATGACTTCTGATGGAAGAATAATGGTTAAGGTCGTCTCACACATCATCTAACAGAAGATTATAATGTATAAATGTAATATTATGTAATAGATGATGACCTCAGTACATAAAGCATGTCGGCTTTTCAAGATCATTGATGCAAATCCTTAACAATAAGTTGGATACATTTTGTTCGTCTAGTTCGAACTATATTTTTTCACTTTTTTATTTTAACATTTCTATGAAAGTTCAAATACATGCACATGTTTATATTCTAAACTTTATTTCTTTATCATTGTTCAATCAATCTAGTGCAAATGTGTGGCACTTGTTTAGGTTTCGTGCTTATGCATAAAGGTCACTTAAGAATAATTAGATAAAACATTTTATCTTCAATAAACATAAATAAGTAAATAAACAGAAATAAAGATACACATGCATATCAACAAATAGATTAAATAAATAAGCAAATAAATAAACAAATCAACCAATTTGGTCCAAATATGCAAGATGAAAAAAATATAAACAGCTGTTTTTGTAAATCGTCTCAGCATTACATAAGCCCAATCAACTAGTAAAACAAAAACCAAAATGACATAAAATATGTTCTTTGTGCTTTCATTAGCATGTTAGAACCATTTGTTTGTCATAAAAATACATACTGTACATGGCATGCATGTTCAAAAGATGCTAATAGTGCTGGCACATTAAAGGTGCAGCACTGTCACCATAAAAGACCAAAGCATCTTCGACTAACTTCTACATGGCTCTAATTTAAGTGTCTGCAGCAAGAAGTAGCAACTTTTATGAACGACTGGATTTCCGACTGACCGCACCTTTGGGAAAGATAACTGTGATCTTTGCTATAAAACGAAACACTCCATGATGCTACACTCCAGTGTTCACAGGGGTGGCACACACACACAAAACAGCGCAGCGCTCTGAAAGATCAGTTTTTGAGCACTGACAGCTGTGATGTTTGCATCTGGCCCTCATCAATCTCGACATCAGCGGAGTCACTTGGCAGATCATTTGTCTCTCTTTGGAGATCACTGTGACACTCCGTGATCAATCCAATATTTTTCCACTCTGCTCCGGATGCACGTCTGGTACCTTGTCCAAAAGCCTGGACGCTCTGACATTTCTTAAAGCTGTAGACGCTCCTGTGTCTGGCTGAAGTGCTATAGACGAGTGGATGTTAGTCTTTTCATGCCTCTTCTCTGAGCCAAACTGGAAGAGAGCACTGGTTCCAGTTTTGGGGCTTGAGGGGATCGATTCAGAGCGGAGTATGTGGCAGCCATCGCCCCCTACAAAATGATGTCAGATTGAATTAATATATCATGAATTATACAGTCAAAACATTAGATGAAACCCAAATAGTGCCAAGTAGTATCTGTGACAATTCAAAGTGACATTTACAATTTTGTATGCAACAATATTTAATGTTAGTTGCCTGACGTTGACAGTAGCATTATTGTTCAAAAGTTTAGGGTTTAAAGGATAGTTCACCCAAATATGAAAATTCGGTCATCATCTACTTACCCTCAAGTTGTTCCAAACCTGTAGAATTAATTTCTTCTGCTGAACACAAAAGAAGATATTTTGAAGAATGCTTGTAACCAAAAAGTTGATGGATCCCATTGACTTCCATAGTCTGGAGGGAAAAAATACTATGGAAGTCAATGGTGCCCCACAACTGTTTGATTACAAAATATATTATTTTGTGTTCAGCAGAAGAGAGACATTCATACATGTTTGGAACAACTTGAGGGTGAGAAAATAATAAAAAAAAAAATATTTTTTGGTGAACTATCCCTTTAAGGCCCATTCACACAAAGGACGATAGCTAACGATAACGGTTAAAGATATTGCTCTAAAAATCGTTCTAAATATAAAAGAAAAGAGAGTCCACACCACAACTATAATGATAACGGAACAGAGACATGATGATATCGTTGGAATCACTTTCAGGATAATTTTTTCCAGCTGATGAATGATGATAACATTGACAGCTAATCAAAATCCATCCTGCTTTAGAGAGCTTGAGCAATTAAAGCGGCAGGCGACAAAACTGCAGCGCGCTTATAATAAACAGAACGAAGTCCGCTGGTGTGGCCGCTAATATAGTTATTCTTATACTGTAGTTATCGTTCTTGGTGTGAATGGGCCTTTAGTACGATTTTTTTTAAAAGGAATTAATACATTTATTCAGCAAGGATGCCTAATATGAATCAAAAGTGACAGTAGGCCTACTTTTACATTGTAGATTTCTATTTAACATAAATTCTGTTCAATTTAAGTTTCTCTTCATCAAAGCATCCTGAATTTTTTTATCAGTTTCCACAAAAAAAATCAAGCAATTGGTCTCACCATAATGGGCGATTTTTGCACCTTTGAAGGGCACTTCGGGAAAGGGAACGCCATTTGTAGGGGCGTTCCAAATGAAAGTGAACTACAGAATCCCTTCACGAAGGGTACATGCAATGGTCATGTGTGACAGTGGCGAATCCTCACGATTAATTTTTAAGCCAGATAGTGGGAGAGTTTGAGTTAATGTATAAACATAATAATTCAAGTTGTATGTTCTTATGTTATTAGGCTACATACATTTTTGTGTACATACGTTTCATAGGAAAGAAATGATGCTGAATATTCTGCTTTGTCATGACATAAATAAATTACATTTAAAAACAAATTACTTTATGTGATATCCTCTATTTCTATTTCTGTATTTCTTAAAATAAAAAATAAAAAACATCGCCAAAGAAGTTTGTTTCACAATATTATTTTTCATTTATAGGTATGACTCCAGGATATCAAGTATCATTAAGGATTATAAAGATCATCAGAATGTTTATTTCCATTCCAAGTCAAAATAACTATTTATTATAAGTGTGTTTATTTTCAGTGGATCAGATGCAGTTTCACAGGAAAACATGAGGTGTCAGTATCGCTCTTTGACAGTGGAGACTGGATCTGGCAGCGGATGAAACACAGCAGAGATGGGATGATAGTCACAGGAACTGTACCTTCACCAGTTGCACGTCCTGTCTGATCAGCTGGCTCTGAGATAACTCATCACGGTTCACTATCCAGGGATGTCTGAGAACAAGAGGTGCCGTCAGCCGCTGATGAGGGTCCACGTGTAGCATTTTAGTGACAATGTCCTGTTCAAAGATGATCAAAAAAAAAGTATTACTATTTTTATTTTTTCTGAGGCTGAAATCATTCAGATCCTAATGAAGATGAATTAAAGGATGAAGTGCCTTCACAGCTGATAGTAAAGACTGAATTTGCACATTATTACTTGGGCTGGGCGGTATATCAAATACAATTATGTATTCACTATTATAGAAATATAAAATTAAGCAATATTGCGATGATGTTAACATGCTTTTATTTTGTCATTAAGTTTCCCAAAGAGCGTTTAATTTACCAATCGTCTCACTTATAGTTTACATTTACCATCTCAATATGGTTTAAGAGCTGATGGGAACACTTTACAATAAAGTTTCATTAGTTAACATTGTATTAGCTAACATGAACTAACAATGAACAAAACTGTGATTGTGATTGACAATACTGATTGTTTCAAAGCAAGACTTTAATCTTTGTTAATGTTAGTTAAAAATACAGTTGTTCGTTGTTTGTTCATGTTAGTTCACAGTGGATTAACTAATGTTAATAAATACAGCTTTTGATTTGAATAATGTATAAGTAAATGTTTAAATTAACATTAATTTAGATTAATAAATGCTTTAGAAGTATTGTTCATTCTTAAGTTATGTAAACTAAAGTAGTTAACTAATGCTAACTAATGAAACCTTATTGTATCGAGTTGATAGGTTAAGTTCATTTTTGTAAATCAATTAAAATCAAATTCAATAAAACAATACAAAATTATTTGTTTGTGTCATCGCTCAAATTATCATGGGCGTCCTGCATGGTTTTTATTGAATTTTCAATGCCTAAATAATTGTGAACAGTAATATTGATATACTAGTCAAAAGTTTTGAATAATGACAGTATTTGATCAAAAATACAGTTAAAAGCATTAATTTTGTGAATAATAATACAGTTTAGTAAAAACAGCAATATTGTGAAATATTATTACAGTTTAAAATAACCGTTTTCTATTTTAATACATCGTAAAATGTAATCTATTCCTGTGATCAAATCTAAATGTTCAGCATCATTATTCCATTCTTCAGTGTCAAATGATACTTCAGAAATCATTATAATCATAATATGCTGATTTGCTGCTCAATTATTATCAATTACTTTTGGTACTTAATAATGTTTCTAATAATGAAAACATTTTTTGCTGCTTAATATTTTTGTGAATACTTTTCAAGATTATTTGATGAATATGAAAATTCAAATCTTTTGAAATCTTTTGTAACATTATTTTCCAGTCACTTTTGATAAGTTTTAATGAGTCCTTGTTGAATAAGAGTATTCATTTGTTTTTATTTTTAATCTTACTCTAAACTTTTAAATGGTAGTGTATCATGGATTATACAGAAATATTAAGCAGCAAAAACTGATTTCGACATTGATAACAATAATAATTTTTTTCTTGAGCACCAAATCAGCATATTAGAATGATTTCTGAAGGATCATGTGACTGAAGATATATAAACAGGAATGAATTACATTTGGAAATATATTCAAATAGAAAACAGTTATTTAAAATTTTTCACAATATTTTTTTTTTTTTTTTACATTACAAAAATCTTAATTATTCCAAACTTTTGACAGGTAGTGTAAATAAAATAAAAAAACATCTAAAAATGATTACAAGTGTTACTTATGTTCATTTAGTGAAAAGAAGTGTGAAATACATGCCTTGATTATTTTTGACTGGATTCTACTTCTTATATTAAACAACAAAAATAATGTCGTTAACAAACATATTGAATATAGTCAAAAGGCAGAATAATATTGAGATGCTCATTTTGGGTTATGGGCTATATATACAGTATATTGCCCATGCAGGCCTAATCACAACATGCAGAAATAAGCAAGCTGACCTTGGCTGCGTCAGACACTGTGTCCCAGTTGCCTCCTGAGAGGGCAAACTTCCCACTGCCAATGCGAGCCAAGATCTCCTCTGGTGTGTCGTCAGGGCCGTTAGCGAAGGGCGTGAAACTGTGGGACAGATTGAGTGCTGCTGAGTGTGTGTGAAACAACTTGTGAATGTGCCCTTTCAGAGAAAGGGTGAGAAGAGAAAGAAAAAATGTAATACCCCCATTTCCACTGAGTTATTTTTAGCGAACACATATGGAAGAGCAAGATGAATTTTTTTTTTTTTTCTCAAATGTTCTGATTACACAGAGGTTTAAAAGCTCAATCCATAGTCAGGAACATTAAATTGAGAGTGCTGCTTGGCTTCTGATAGCTCTAGCATTGTGTTCAGTTACAATTACTCTGTGACTCGACCCGGCTTACCTAGTAATCCCCTCATCCGGGCAATGGGGAAAAGGATGCTCTACATAGGGTTTTGATTTGTTTGTGTTGATAAATCACTCATAATTTTGTAGAAAATTAAGGCTGTGCTCTTAGGTCATGTGTGTAGATGATTTTTATTGAAATCATTCTGATGGTTAAAGGTTCTAAAGGTTATCTTAAATAAAGCATGCCTTAATACTGTCAGTTCATTGAGAGCAACAAATAGAATCTGTTCATATTTTGATTATTATTAATGATGAATGGGTGCATGCGACCGTTAGATTAGATCAATCATGTATAATGGACGTATGTGAGGATGGTGGTGAAGGTTTTTTTTATTATTATCATTTTACTAGGAGTGGTTTTCTTTCTACTACTTTTGAAAGTGACCTATATTACTGTAGTGTAACATTGTTATCTGGTTTTGGCACAGCTACTTATTCTTTATTATTACTATTTTTCCACATATCAGAATAACAATAAAGGTCACAAAATAGTCACATGGGAATTATGTAATGACCACAAAAAACAATCAAATATTTCATCATCGAGCCTCTGCAATCTTTTTCTAGATTCCATCTCTGCTGGGGCAGATGAGGTGCATTTTGGGATGCTTTTTTTTAACACTATTGAAGATTCACATGTATGCTAAACAACGACTCCTTCTTCATTATCTCGTCTTTATTAAAACTACTGTATAGTTTATTTTAGAACATATGTAGATACAATTTATATTTGTCTACAAAACTAATTAGACCTGAAGGTTTTCATATCATAAGAAACAAAAATGCAGTCAAATGTTTACAAACTTTTGCCTGGTAGCGATTATACAGTATATTTATACTTCATACACTACTGTTCAAAACTTTGGGGCTAGTAAGATTTGTAAGATGTTTTTGAAAGAAGTTTCGGTAACACTTTACTTGAAGGGGTGTGCATAAGACTGACATGACACCTTCATAATGATGACATGACACATGTCATGAATATGAAGGAGGTTTCATGCATGTTTATGACAACTGTCATTAAGTGTCATTCGCTCAATTATGACATTTTTAATGCAAATATGACATTGTTTGAGATGTCTTTGTTATGACAACTTGACATAAACCAATACATCATAACCTGTCAGTGTCTTGGTAATGACAACTTGACATTACCAAGACAACATAAATTGTCATAAATATGTCATAAACATGACATAGCAGATTAATTATCAAACTTAAGAAACCACTTAGCTTTATGGGTTAACATTGCATTAAACTGTCAGGTGGTTGGTTTTGACATTGGCAGTCATAAGGCCATTAGAACTGTGTCATGAATATTTTTCTTGACCTCAACTACAGTGGTACAAATTGAATTTGTCATTAAAAGGTTATAATGGCCTCATGACAGCCAATGTCAAAACCAACCGCATGACAGTTTAATGTAATGTTAACCCATAAAGCTAAGAGCGAATGACACTTAATGACAGTTGTCATAAACATGCATGAAACCTCCTTCATATTCATGACATGTCATGTCATGATTATGAAGGTGTCATGTCAGTCTTATGCACACCCCTTCAAGTAAGAAGTGTCTCATGCTCACCAAAGCTGCATTTATTTGAACAAAAATATTGTTTATATATTGTTAAATATTATTAAAATTAAAAATATTTTTTTGTAACAATTTAAAAGTCTTTACTGTCACTTTTGATCAATTCATATGTATGAGTATATATATTTAAATAATAATAAAAAAGCTCTTACTGACTGCAAACTTTTAAACTTTAGTTTATATGTAATATATAAGATATATCCAGTTAAGACTCAACTTACCCTGCCAGCATGGTGTAAAGTAAGATTCCCAGACTCCAGATATCGCAGGCGGCATCATATCCCTGTTTCTTCAGGACCTGTATGAATCACAGGTTTGTTGTTGTCTCATAATCTCATAAACAGATCATAAAAAACACACTTTTTTCAAACATTTCAGCATATTTTCAATGTTTAAACAATACACATACACAATTGTTATTTTAACCCTGACCCCTAATAATCACAGCTTTTTTTTTTTTTTTTTTTTTTTTTTTATTATTAAATGAATGTACTATATTATAGTTCGATATCTTAGTTTTATTTTAGGGGATTTATGGTACTAAATTATATTAATGCAGTAGTTATAATCCATATACAGTATCTTTTTGAGTTTAGGCATAGATTTTGAGCATAGATCTGAAAATGAAATTTAACTTAAACTCTCATAAATCTTAAATTATTTGGAGCACAGACTTAAGTTTGGTCTCTTTTTAAAGAAGACACTTGGCAGATTATTGCTAAAGTGAAAGTTTGAAAAAGTGAACTTTAAAAAAAGTTATAGAATTTTACATTTATTGTTATGAAAAATGCACAAAAAATTGTTTCTTCAATGTTTATATGAAATGTACATTTTCCAAAACACGTTTACTGTAAAACTGTGAGAAAATTGCCAATTTGATCTTAATGTCTCAAAAAATGAGCTTTCAGTAAGATTTTGTTTGTGTGCCTTTTGTTTTGTTTTAGGACTTTTAATTTGAACTGTTTTCTCCATTCCCATTGTTTCTATGTTCATAGGAATCTATGTTCAGTTCCTGTTTCCCTTATGGTCTTTCCTGCCTTGTTTATTGCCATAGCTACCCTTGTTTGTGTCAGTTACCCTCATTAGTACCCATAACAACCAATCACCGGCACCTGTCCCTAGTCATCCCTCTTGTGTATAAATACTTGTTAAATCTTGTGTATAAATACTCATAGTGTTTCCCATATTCTTTGAATAGTGTTGCTAATTTATGGTAGTATTGGGTGCAGTTGCTGCCACTTTCTGTTCTCTCATGTCTGAATTTACTTCTGTCATCTTGTTTCAATAAATGCAAAATCTTTTTAAAAACATTTTTTGTGTGAGTGTGTGTGTGTGTTCGCATTGCAAGTGCCAAAACTTTAACAAGTTTCATACTATTTAGAATAATAAAAAAAAAAATTCGGTCAAAAATGACCAAAGAGCACCAGAGGGTTAAATAATTTATAATTAAATAATTGAAGGGTTAAATGTGTATGACATTTACAAACATTGAAAAATGCAGGTTTTTTTTAGATTAATACATCATAACTCCACAGAAAAAGATAAATGGATTCAAAAGTACCTCTGGAGCCACAAAGTTTGCAGTGTAGCACGGTGTCATGAGCAGACCATTTTCAGCCCTCAACTGTTTGGCAAAGCCAAAATCACAGATTCTGATGGACTCTGGGTCGCCTGTTTCATCCACGTACAGGATGTTACTGGGCTTCAAGTCTCGATGCACAACCTGAACACAGAAGTAGAAACAATGATGCAGTACATGCTACAATGTGACTTAAAAGTGAACAAAATTTGTGTAATTTGTTGGATTACAACTTTTATGGTACATTTACCATAGCAACTGAACAACTAACTATTTAGGGCCCTATCATACACCCGGCGCAATGCAGCGACAGGCAAGTGTTTTTTGCTAGTTTCAGCCATAAACGCAGTTATCATTTTCACGTCCTGCGCCACGTTGTTTAAATATCAATTGCATTTGTGCCCATTTGTGCGCCCATGGGCTGCTGGTCTGAAACCGAGGTGTGTTCAGGCACATTATTTTGAGGCAACTGAAATAGACTGCGCCATTGACCGACTGAAACCTGGTCTAAAGTCAATGGCGCAATATTTATTTTGTTATAGGGCACATTAGTAATATGAGCCTGTAGGCGGGTCCACAACGCGCTTACACTCTGCTTATTACAAATATTAAATATATTAAATATTAAAAATAAAAGCATTACAATGTAAGAGATTAATATTGTGTACAGAAAGATATGGTGGAATCCGGCTTGTCCCGTAGATGGTCTGCTCGCACTTTCCTCACGCACAAGCAGATCCGTTTCCTCTCTGGAGAAGCGTTCAGTTTTTCCACTGGCAAATTCCGTCATATAAATAGCTAATCCGCCATGGCACGAGCGCAACTGGCTTTTAAAGGGAATGGGAGATGAGACTCTGATTGTTTTTTTGCACGTTACGCCCAAAACACACCCATTACTCATTAAGAGAATAGGGACAACCCTTTTAGACCATTTTTCCCGTCGTTAAACAAGCAAAAGTTTCGGACACGACTTAAGTGCACTTGTGCTTTAGATCCTTACAATAGTGTCCCCTCTGTGACCACACGCAAACTGACCCCCTGTGAATGCAGATACTCCACAGTCTTGGTGATGGTGCAGAGCACGGCTGAGGTCTCCCGCTCTGAGAAGCACTTCTGCTGCAGGATCCGGTCCAGCAGCTCTCCTCCTCTCATCAGCTCCATCACCAGATACACAAACTTGCCATCATCATAGACCTGCAGCACACAGCACAACACACTCACTCTCTGCATCACAGTGCACTCATGCAGCTCTCACTCACAGACATGAGCTTATCTAACCACAAAAGATCTGGTGACATTTGCTCATCAATGGTAATGCAGGTTAACTTGGTAAAAAAAAAAAAATCAAATTATGTTATTGGGGTGCAGTGTTTTGGAAACATTCTGAATTCCTTTCCGTCCAAGAATTTAAGATTGATTTGGCAACTTTGCACAGGATGTTGAATTGGAATTACAGAAAGGAATCTGAAACGGAATTCGAAGAATTTCAACACACAACAGAAGAGTTGCATTAGTCCATTAGCTAATTTGGACTAATTATGTCTACTTATTTCCTGATATGAAGAATAACATTTATTTTTACCCAACTGATTAGACATTTCTCTAAACTAAAGAGTCTCTCCAAGCTAATCGCACCATTTTTAGACCTAACTTTATGAAAATGAATATCGGGTAACACTTTAGTTTAGGGTCCAATTCTCACTATAGTTGGTTATTAGCATGGATATTACTAGGATATTGGCTGTTTATTAGTACTTATAAATCACATATTAATGGCTTATTCTGCATGGCCATATTCGACATCCCTTAATCCTGTCCAATACCTTAACTTAACAACTACCTAACTAACTATTAATAAGCAGTAATTCGGTGTTTATTGAGGGAAAAGTCATAGTTAATAGTGAGAATTGGACCCTGATCTAAAGAGTGACAGAATATTGATATCAAAATTGGAATCTATGGAGGGTATGCACATGATGTCACAGTAGGCGGAGTCACTGCGGTTACACCCACTGAGTGGCAAAAAGACGGAGTAGAAGCTTTGGTGTTCAGCTTGAATGCAGTGAAAGCACACAAAAACACATCTACAATGGGAAAGAGCTGTACAATTGACTGTACAAATAGATTCAACAAGTGATCGGAGCTATATTTTTACAGACTGCCGAATGCAACAGAAAAGAGAAGCAAATGGATCAGCAAATGCAATTTGCAGAAACATCTGACCTCCAGGCAGTGAAACGTGAATTTGCAGTTACCGTTTTGTGTCAGATATGTTGAATTTTGTGGTAAAATCATACCCAAGGTTATATAATGTATTGACAACTCATCAATTCAATATTTACCATCTTACATTCTGCATAACTGTAAAGTTTTGGTCAGCATGTATTAAAAAACAGACATTATGATTAGCATTGTGTTCTACAAACAGGGATGGTTAGATAATGTTGACAACTCCAGTTTCCCTTACAAAACAAGTTTAGATGGATAGATAAAAAGATAGGAGCACAAAGAACTTCTAAAATGGATTCAGTTTACACAGCAGAACTCTGTATCGTCTGCCTGACAATAACAGCGGACGGTTATCCAGATAACTTTAAAACCAGAGAATTCATTGATGTTCTCGTCACTTTAATTTCACCAACAAATCCTGTCTTGAAGTCAAGTCAAGTCAAACTTAATTGTATATCGTTTCACAATACACATCGTTTCCAAGAAGCTTTACAGAAAGTCATAGCAAGATGAACGATATGATACACTGCCAAAAAAAAAAAATGTGTGAAAATGATTCTTCATGCTCCCTCCCAACCATTCTTTCACAATTTGAGCCTGATGAATCTTGACAATGTCATACTGGAATATGGCCATGATGAGTCTTCGTACATGGTTGGTTAAGAAATGAAAAGCTACACACTCCATCAATTAGGGTTAGAAGAACTGTTGCCAAACATATAACTACTAGAAACATAATAATAACTGCAATAATGATCCAATCATAGACTCTTAAGCATTTGCCTATTTTATTTTTGGCCAGGCAGTGTATATAACAATGAAAAAAGTAATCATTCTGATTTAGATCTACCTATCGTATTTATAGTGTTGTCTAACAGATAAAGCGTTCACAGTTTATGTATTTCCCCTGGTGTCAAAATTAGGTACATATAAATGTCAGGAAACCCGATTCCTGGCCACATGTCGATGTCCATGGACCACTGGTTCTTTGGTTAGTTGTTGCAAGGATCACTGTCAAGTCCAAATGCCTTTAATTTGAGCAGATACACGTTTTTGCAGTTTCCCCTATTAAAGCCAGTCATGTTGCAGGATGTTTTGCAACTTATTCTGGCTGAGGGGACGTGACATCAATGCATACCCTTTCGATTGACTATATAAAATATATAGTCAATTAGAGTTTTCTGGGAAATTAAGCATTCTTCTATTTGGTCCATTTTTTTATTTAAAAGTTAATTTAATAAACATAAAAATGGGCAAAATATTATTGAAAACTACATTTTATGAAACTGTAATCCTCTATTAACTTCTTCATTATAAAATTATATATCTTCTTTAGATATACAATCCAACATAAACCAAAGACAGAAAAGTTAAAAAGTGTTAAAATCCATGAGTACAGTTTAGAAACACTAAATTTAAATTACAAAACTGTGGGCAGAGAATAAATGATCAAAAACAGTCGCCTACTAGTCTCCATAAAACTAAAGTAGCATTTCTTTCTTTTTTCAAATTGTGACTCACATCTTTCAGAGTAATGATGTTTGGGTGCTGGCCGTATCGCAGAAGAATCTCAATCTCTTCAGACGGGTCCTTCTTGGCTCTGTCAATAATCTGAAATGAAGTGGGCTTGTCAAAGCGGTGTCTGATAAAGCTTCGACTGACACTGAATGATGCTGTCCTATATGATAATTCATCAAGAGGCTCTTATGAAACAGCCTCTGCGGTTCACTAAATAATACTCTGCATTGTGTGTTTTGTCAATCAAAGAGCATTTAATGAAACCCAGTGCTTTTAAAGAGTAGATTTTATACTCACTTTAACAGCATACTCCACACTGGTGATTCTGTGAACACAGCGTTTGCAGACCGAATACGCTCCGATGCCAATATCCTCCTTCAACTCATAGCCGTCAGTGAAATGAATGTTGTTGCCATGAAGTTGCTGCATTATAAAACAACAACACACATGAAAATAATGATTATTTAATTGATATTAACAGTGAAATGACAACATTACATTAATGTTCCATTAACTTTTGACAACCAGAATGTGTCTTCATTTTGAACAGCGTGTCTATTCATTGATGATTTATTGCAATCTAATCCAGTGGCATTCATACATTTTAAAGTGTGGCTCCAGTGTCCACTGTGGATGACGATTTAACCCCAAGCAACTTTACAGCACACAATAGCTGTCCTCCAGGAGTAACCTGAGGTTAAATGTCTTGCTCAAGGGCACAATGATGACAATTCATATCTCCTTTGAGGGGGTTTGACCATACAACTTTTCACTTACCAGCCTACATCTTTAACAGCACCCCATATATCTGAAACTGACTGAACATTTCACCATCTGGTTTTCTGCAACACATAACACCTCTTATTTTTCAAAAGACTTTGCATTTGTATTTTTTAGAAAAATGCAAATGTACAGACATTCATGTATAATTTGAAAATGTACCATTGACTTTGTTACAATGTTCAATTACATCACTGTAACATTTACATACTAAACTGAGTTTGGCCTCTTCTTTTTTTAATGAATGATCAAAACTATGGCCTTTCCCACCACTGAGTTCCCAGAGATCCGGATCCAGTGTATAATAAAAGTTGTGAAATAATTGCCTACTAATAACTGTACTAGAGTGCTGCAAAGATAAAATGCCAAGACTTTCTCATCTGAGCTGATCAGCAGTCTAACAGCACTCATCAATGACTGAAACGCCAAATACATCTTGACCAACAGTAATATCCAGGGATGTAAACAACTCATTTGGAACTGTTTTCAGCATAATACAGTTTCTTGATAGCCTTTCAGTAAATAGCCTTTCAGTAAATTCACTTACCATCCTCAGACCTGCATAGAACCAGGTAAAAAGTGGCTTAAATGTTTTTTTTAGGACAGTTATTTAGCCTATTAAAAAACAGTACTGTATATTTGCTAACTATTTTTCCTTTCTTCCTTTAATTTTCTCTTTTTGACAAGAAATCCACATGTGTCTGCATATTAATATGTCAATGGCTGGTCTGTGCTTAAAATTTAAATGGATAGTTCAGCAAAAAAAAAAAAAAAAGAAAACAAAAGTGAAATCTCCCTTTAACTTTTGAGGAATTTTTAAAAACTTTTTTGTGAACTTTTTTTTCCCCCACTGACAACAACAACAACAACAAAAAACTCTATTGGTACATGTTTTTTTTTTAAAAGCTATTGTTATCCAAAATTTGCTCTCTAGACATCTTAAAATGGACATATTTCTCAGGGGAATCAAAATTATTCTGAGCACGCTCAGTTTTGTACCTCTATGTTTCGAAAATCATGTGGATGAACATGCACAGAACCTAAACTTTAACACCATTATTTTGCTGCCTTGCAAGCACTGCTTTTTCCTTCGGGAAATACACATCTAGTCTTCAATGCTTTGTAACAGTGCATGGAGATAGAAGTGAAAAGTGAAACTGACATATATACGTCAAATATGCAAATAATCGACGGCATGTTCAGGTGTGCGAAACGCCTCCCCAAAACAAAAGCAATTCACAGCACAGGTTTAGAAATCTTCCACAAATAGCTGCACTCATGCATCTTCATGAGCCCTATCAGAGTAAGTTAATATCGTATGCTCGGCAGATGCCAGATCAGATCAGAAAGACGGCACCGCAGAACAGACATCTGCTCATGTGCCATTGTGCCCGCGCCAATCAATGCATCTCATTCCGGTCACTGCCACGTCAGCTCAGACACTTCAATAAAGCAGCTCTTCAGGTATGAACCATCTGGCAGAATTAGTTCAGGTTATGTAACATGGGTCTCCTTTTTTCTTTCTATTTCTTCTCATTTTTGTGCTGTGCTACACAACAGTACTTCCCTGAGGAAAAGGTCTGATTCAACTGAATGCGCACAGGAAGACCAATGTTAAACGAATACAGAAAACAACTTTGGCTAGGCTGACTGCAATATTTCCTGTATGTTAGTGACTAGCCGGCAATATAGCACAGCATGCTTGAGTGAAATATTGATTGGTTCTTCTCATCACTTACATGAATCATCATGACCAAAGAAACATAATTTGTGCATTTTCTGAAGGAATGGAAGTGATTTTTGCCAGTGCAAAACTGTTGCCAGTGTTGTGGGTGGTTACTAAGGCACTGCTATGCAGTTGCTGAGGTATTTTGAGTCGCTCAGTTGCTAAGGTATTCTGTTTTTTTGCAAGTCGCAGTGCAGTTGCTGCAGTTTTTGAGTCGGTTTTAACATGTTGCTACAGTTAAAAAATAAATATACTAAAATGTATTAATACATTTATTTTATGCTAAGTATACTACAAATGCATTTACATGTTTATTTGCATATTATAAATACTCTGCAATTGTACTTTTGGTATACTAAATTGGTATACTTAAAGTCTGCTATATTGGAACAACTAATTTTGAACTTAGTTCTGAGGTCCAACTAAAGATATACTTAAGTATATTTGATTGTGCTAAAGAGGAACTATTGCAAGTATACTTTAGGTGCACTTTAAATATCTTGCATTTAAAGACTGATATTATGCAAAGATCATACTATCCTTAAGGATATTAAAACACATTTTAGGCTTAATATTAAGAAATGTACATTGTGCAATAAGGAAGTACTCCAAATAAAAAATTTTATTACATTATTTATATCAGTATGTATCAAGCGATATCTCAGTAAATATGTTAATGGATTTGTAGTATACTTAGTATGTGATACAAGATACGGTCTCGTATCTTCACAGTCCTCGCTCCTCCTTTATGCTTCCGCTCCTCATTGAGAGATACGAGACCGGTGCGTCTCACAGGTGTCTTTCATCATTAATCACGCCACCGGCCTCGCACCATCCTCTCACGTCCCTCGACCTCGTGCTGCTCGCCACAGTATGAAAATAATGTTTTTTAAAAACATTTTGGTATAGGTTTTCTTACTAGGGCAGGGCCTGAATTTCGTTTTGTAAAATGGGGTGGAAATCCCCCCTTAGATGATTCTCATGGGGGGATTTTTTTTTTGTTTGAGGGGGAGAAGGGAGGGTGGGGCATTTTTTCCAAACAAAATGATTACATTTATCTTGCCTAAATGTTTGCGCTCATTGCATTTTTACAATGGGTTTGTACATTTACACAACACTTGCTTGATTTAAATTGTTTAATTAAATTAAAAAAAGTAGCACAAATAAATACAATAGAATAAAGATACAAATAAAGACAAACGTTTTTGAATAGGTCTAACACTATTCATATAAAGAAACTGAATAAAGTAATCAAATGGAAAATAACACTGGGTAGTATTTTAGTCCTGAATAAATTAAATACATAGGGTATTCATCCTGATTCCTTTAACTTAAAGCTATCTTTTGTTGTTTTGACAACAAAATTAATGACACACACATATGGCTGCCGTCACTTTAAGAGCTAGTGCACGGATCCTGTGTTCATTATACTGGCATGCGTTTTATGCTTATTAAAGACAAAAGCGACTATGTTTAGAGTATACTCACGAAGGTATACAGGCAATATAATCCGTGAAAAATAACTTTTGTTACTGGCCAGCTGTTTTTTAGGCGGATTTTCTATGAATGTGCGCATAGAAAATCATCTCAGAGAGCGTGCGAGCACTGATTAGTTTAAAATCGCTTGAATGTTTAAACTGGTAAGACTTAAAAAGACGTGCAAATGGTAAACTTCAGTCACGATGCACTGCTGGCCCGATTGTGCGAGTGAATATTCCGTCATGTCCCGACTCCTAAACGCGAGTGTGTTTTATCGCCGCAGCGCTTAATGCTTGCCTTGCACAACACATTTTGAGAGAAGAGATAGAAGACGCGGCACCGCTGAACACTCACGCTGTTTGTGAAATTGCGTCTGACAGATAGTTGTTAAAAGAATGATTTGATTTTACAATCTGTGTGGATTACGATTGCGGGAATTTCCCGCATTAAAAATGGGAGACCTGCGGGAATGATTAGAATTATGCGCAATACCCGCAATCCCGCGCCGAAATTCATGCCCTGTAGGGTTTGAGTCCCCCTGTGGTGAAATCCAAGTTTTTAATGCTGTTTATATGTCTATGTGGTGTTTTAAATATGCTTTAAGACAAACCATGAGCAAATTCAAGAGTCCAAACCAATGCTGAGTATTTTCTCTTTAAAACTGCAGTGAACTAAAGGCAGTCTCAAAAACACGGTTTGAAATCGCTGGTGTTTCTGACGTCACAAACTACCTTGTAACCAATCAGATCAACGTGTGATTGTCAACGAGTGGATCTCTGAGCTGGTGTGAGTGAGTGGAGGTGGGGCTAATTTGCATATTCATAGAACTGCGTATACTAAATGAGGCAAGGGTGTAGAGTTACATTCAAGCTATTTTAAGGCATGAAGAAAATTTTGTTTAAAAAAAAATCACTTTGGTGATCAAAGAATAGTTTTAAAGCAACACCAAGGAACTTTTCGTCAGCGGTCGCCCTACAAGTTGGAAGCAGAATTGTCGCTGTTTATCCAGCACCGGCTTTGGAATCAACAATGGCAGACATCCCAACCTGCAAGAAGTCATTTCAGGGAGGTATATCTTGGTGACTGGATTGTTGACGGGGGGGTGGCGGGTTGACTAGCTTTCGTGAGGCACACTCGCAAGGTCTCTCGCTCTCTCCCTCTCTGCCGTGCTCGCGCTATGTATGTAATGCACGCAGTATGTTCTGTCTCGCATGCGCGCTCTAGATTCCGGCAGATTTGAACTAATTTGCGGGCATCAGGGAGACGCTATAGACTTGGGATGTCTGCAATGGCCATAGACCATTTGAGGAAGTGATGGGGGAAGTGAGGTATGCCGTAAAGCAGTCGAGTTTTGTAGTTCTTTTTGTGCTCGGGTTACTACCCGAAACCCGAAGTTACATAGTGCGAGTAAAAGCGATACAGACCACGTCAGGCTATGGCAGACGTGTCATTTAACCTATTTTAAGTCGATGTACCATGTACCAGGGTCTTGGAAATATATTATGAAGGTTGAAAAGTTACATAGTGTTGCTTTAAGGGATATAATTATTGACTACAGGGGAACTTTGAGTGTTTTTTCTTTTTTGCATGCCACTATGAGATTGCTAAAGTAATTTGAATGCCATTTTGTTGCTACCCTTTGCTAAGGTAGTTAGAAGGATTTTTAGAATAACATTATGCAATTGTTAAGGTTTTTGGAGCAGTTTTTAGTATTTTGTTATGGGGTTGTGGATGGTTGCCATAACTTGCCAGAAAGCTTTTATCAGAGTCCTGCTCACCTGTACAATGGGGTTTACAGAGATTTGCTTGATCTCGACCAAAGGTTGTTCTTGACCCAGGTTAGAGGCCACAAAGCTGAAGCCGCGGAAGAGCTGGTGTGCGTTAGCGCTGGCTGGAACACCGGGTGAGTCTGTGGGCACATACAGAGAAAAATATATTTAGAAAGGTAACAAGGACATAGTCTATCTATGAATGGAATCACACAATTGATCCCATCTGAGCAGTATGAATAGTATGTACTAATGGCAGGACCCGAGGGCTCTTGTAAACAGGTTCTGCTGTTTCAGTTCACTCTAATTTGTTTTTGCACTCTCCCTGTGCTTGCTGGGCACAGACTGTTATGTAAGAATAGTTTCCAGCTCGCTGTCTATCACAACACTTAACACAACAAAAGCAAACACTTAAAATTATTCTTCCAGACATTCTTTAAATAAAGCGGCATATTTTGTATTAATGAGTATTGATCTGAAAATCAACTGCAATTTGCATCACCTGTTGGTGTGCGGGATGTAAACTCAGGATCAAAATGAAAGGTGTCCTCTGGTCGGCCCACTGCTGGTTTGAACGGAGGCTTGATTTCTCGTCTGTACAACTTCTGTTAACCAAGAAGACAGAAAGCCCATGGTCTGGTCACGATTTACACCATTTAGAATACATACGCTAATGCTAAGGGTTATATATATATATACTTACATTCCAGTCTATTGTTGCAAAAAATATATGCCTTTTGATTTCTTCCACTCCATCAGGTCCTGCGCCTGCAGAACAACCAGAGGACAAACATCCAGTCAGGTAACAGATGGGATTCCCATGAAACATCAGTCTATCTGTAAGTCAGACAAGTGTTGAAAAATCCTCTTTGAAAATCCTCTGCAGCTCAGTTTCCCATCCTGTTTGACGTTGCTAACCTCCAACAAATAGGAATCTAAAAATGCTGTGCTATAGTGCACAGCAAAGGGATCAATGTCTTGCTGGTTAGCATTTCCCAGTTAGCCTAACATCTGGCTGCAAAAGCATCTTCCACTGTTGACGGTGGTCATGGCTGAGCTCACGTTTGGCTGTGATTCCCATTCTCATTGTAAGAGTGACTTCTCTGATTGGTGGATCTCTTTTTTTTGTGGGGGGGGGGGGGAGGGGGTTGTGGGTAGTTTTCAGCAGGAATTTAACAATTAACACATTTTGAAAATTAAGCTGAAATAAGGCTACAGAAGCATTTTTCTCTGTTCCTCACATGTTTCTACTGCATAGACAGCCAAATTTTTTAAAAGCATATCTGGCCAGTGGTAATTTACCCCTTGTGTCCTGAGAAGTTAATATATGCTATCGCTAAAAATAAGTGAATAGGATTTTTGGTTCTGGAAACCTATAGGCTACTGTTGCGCTCCACCGTGCAACACATTTCCACCTCATTAACTATTCCATGATAACATGCATATAAATTGTTACCTTTCATTTTAGCATTCAAACTATGTTAGTAGTCATAGTCATACACGAGTGAGTCAGGACTTGATTTGGATGTATACACCTTAACGGGGATCAGAAGAATACAAAGCCACGGTCAACATTGCGTCTCTATGGCATTTATCTCTGCCTTATAAATTATGGATACGATTCACCCAGCTAAATTCAATCTCAGCTTGACAAACATTCAGCAGCAGCGTCTAATTTTCAAAATGTGTTAATTGTTAAATTCCTGCTGAAAACTACCCACAACCCCCCCCCCCCCCCCCCCCCCCCCACACACACAAAAAAAAGAGATCCACCAATCAGAGAAGTCACTCTTACAATGAGAATGGGAATCACAGCCAAACGTGAGCTCAGGGGGGGGGGGGGGGAGGGGGTTGTGGGTAGTTTTCAGCAGGAATTTAACAATTAACACATTTTGAAAATTAAGCTGAAATAAGGCTACAGAAGCATTTTTCTCTGTTCCTCACATGTTTCTACTGCATAGACAGCCAAATTTTTTAAAAGCATATCTGGCCAGTGGTAATTTACCCCTTGTGTCCTGAGAAGTTAATATATGCTATCGCTAAAAATAAGTGAATAGGATTTTTGGTTCTGGAAACCTATAGGCTACTGTTGCGCTCCACCGTGCAACACATTTCCACCTCATTAACTATTCCATGATAACATGCATATAAATTGTTACCTTTCATTTTAGCATTCAAACTATGTTAGTAGTCATAGTCATACACGAGTGAGTCAGGACTTGATTTGGATGTATACACCTTAACGGGGATCAGAAGAATACAAAGCCACGGTCAACATCGCGTCTCTATGGCATTTATCTCTGCCTTATAAATTATGGATACGATTCACCCAGCTAAATTCAATCTCAGCTTGACAAACATTCAGCAGCAGCGTCTGGAAGTCTGACTGCAGTCATTCACACAGGAAATCATCTCTGACTAAAATGAGATTTATGCCCACTGCTGCTGTCATAAGAACAATGTACAATACTATGTTCAACTAAAAGAGGTATCACTGTGACCAACATCTGATACATTTATTGAGCTAAGCGTTTCATATTATTTACACTATCCCTGCTGGAAAAATAGCTTAAACCAGAGATTTGCTGGTCTTAGCTGGCCCCTAGGCAGCTAGCTGGCCTAGTTTAATGGTTTAAGAATGACCATTCAGCAGAACAACAGATTGAGAGACCAACTAAACCAATATAGATAAACTAAGACTACTAAACTACAATGGCTGGACTAAGATGGTCTTCTGGAGGAAGGATGGAGGGCAGGTGAATAATATATTGGTATTCTTAGTTATGAACGGTTGCTTACCTAATCTATTGGAAGGGTTTCTTTTGAAGAGAGCCCGCAATAAACTCTGGACTTCAGGGCTAAGGAACTGCGGCATGCCCAGTTTTGCCCTGAAAAAAAAAAAAAAAAAAAACTTAATCTGCTATTAATTTCTGAAAATAAATAAGACTGTGATGCACAGCCACAAACATAATAAATCATCTTGACAGATCCATTTATGAGGACAATTTATTACAAAAAAAAAATGCACAAATACAACAACAATTCTTACTTGAGAATAAGTGCCATGGTCTCTTTGCGGTCTTTGCCTTGAAATGGCAGGGATCCAGTCAGCATTTCAAACTAGGCACAGTAATAGAAGCATCAGGCTTTGCTCTAGCAAATTTATTTATGGATGGTACAATAATTGTGTGTTCAGCACTGCTTCACAATATCAGCGCATACTAAATCCAAATCTGTCTCCAGTCAGCATGCTTACTCTTATGTAACATTGCTTATGTGAGTGAATTAATTTTAGGGCAATGATATTTGTAAGTCAGCTAGTTAAATGGGCTGCAGTTTTTAAGTGAGATTCCACAAAACATCGACTGAGACTAGTCCAAATCATGCTTATCAAGTCAAATTTATATAGCGCTTTTCACAATACACATTTTGCAGTTTATGAATAGTTAATAAAGTAGAACTTTTAATCCAAGAATAATTTATCAATTGGTTCCAGTCAACAGTCAGTATGTCCTGCATTCATTCATAAACTTTTTTAGGTTAGGTGAGTAATTTCTGTACCACAAAAGGCCACCCACATCAGGTTGTCCTGTTCTAAACTCACTCCTTTGGCAGAGCCATTTGTGATTTGTCAGCCCAATGGGTCAAAGGTTTGGCTGCTTAGCATGGCTCAAATAGCCCCCCATTGGTAGGTTTGGTGCGGGCTGCTAAGCAGAAATTACATCCTTCACCTTTAAACATTTCAAATTCCTTTAAACTGCTTTTTAAAGTCAGGTGTCATATCCATCTGAGCTCTTATAAGTGTGCACCTCTTCAAAAGTTATTTGTTCCAACAATGGCTGTGAGTCATTTGCTGCTGAGGAAATGGAAATTCTCAAAGGACATACCCTCATATAGAAGCAATTACCGGCAACAGCTCAAGGCAATAATATTAGCATTAATAGAAAATTCTGTGGCCCAGTGCAGCAGCAAGAAGATATCCACTTAAGTCTTTTATCTAGTGAGGAAGTGTCCAATCAATATATACTTTTTTAGACTCATTGCTAATTGTGTTGTTAGCAACCCCAAAGTTGATCAACTCTTGCTAATGCTGTGTTCCATTCAAAGATTTGGGATATTCCTACTTAACATAAGGTGACCAGATTTCTAACATGGAAACCAGGGACATTTCTTAATTTGGTGGTCTAAATATCAATAAAATCGTACTTGTTATTACCAATTAATTAAAATTGGGGACAATAAATACCAGTGTTCTGCATCTCCTCGATGCCAGACCGTTTGTGAACTCACCTTGTACGTGTTTTGGTCTCTTATATGTCTTGTTTTCTCCCCTGTCTTCTGTCCAGCTCACTGATTTGGCTTTGATCCTCATCTGTCACTCACTATCACTCACATCACAGCGCTGGTGAGTCTTATTACATCTGGCAACCACAGGGAAGAACTGGTTTTCTACCTGTTTGACTCACCGGTGTCGCCCATAGTGTTGGGGCATCCTTGGCTCTGTCAACCCTCACGTTAACTGGGCAGAGGGCACCATTCTTGCTTGGTAATCAATCATCTTGTCATACAAATTGCCCCCTCTGCCGCATTCTCTTGTTTTTGTGTTACAGGAGAAGAAGGATGTTGATATCTCCCAGGTCCCTGCAGTTTATCTAGATTTGCTTGTGGTCTTCAGTTGGTCCCAAGCTTCCTTTCTTTAGGTGCACATTCAGTGCGTTAGGCAGATGCTGAAGAGGCTGTTGGAGAACCAATAATTTATTAAGGCAGAGAAGGGTTGCTTTCATGCCTGGTTGGTTCTGTTCTAGGGATCTATCATTTTGGTGGCTTTCCCAAAAATCCCCTCATGATGATAGTACATCCCTGTGCTAATTACTATTTGGGGTGTTAAGGATCGTATCAGGCAGGCCTTGAACAGAGGCGAGGTGCCCAGGGCGTGTCCAGTGTGTCTGCTGTATGTTCGTAAATCAGTCCGCCCCGCAGTTTTCCAGTGGGGCCATTCCTCCAAACTTACTTGGCATCCAGGAGTGAGAAGGTCACTGTGTGTCGGTTTGTGCTCAAAATAAGACTTCTTAATTCCCCTCCTGTTGGACTGCTCAGTCCCGTCCCCATCCCCTCTCGACCCTGGTCACATAATGCCCTGGATTTGTCACCAGTCATCACTCCATCCAGCAACAATACTGTGATCCTACAACGTGGTGGACCGCTTTTCTAAGGTGTTTCATTTCATTCCTCTCCTCAAACTCCCCATTGCCAGAGAGACTGCACAGGTGGTCATGAACCACACCATCCGGATTCACAGTCTTCCGTGAAAGAGGGCCCCAATTAATCTCTCACTTTTGGAGGGACTTCTGTCAGCAGATCGGCATTACCCTTTCTTGTGCTGCCTTGGTTTTCAACCTCCCGTTTTCTCTCTAGGGAGCTGAAGCTGCCGTCACTTTGTTGCCAGACCGTGGCACTCTGCTATACCTGCTTTGGGGTTTCTTGCTCACTGCTTTTCCTGCTCACAAGCTGGCCCCACGGTTCATCGGGCCATACCCAATCTCTAAGGTCATCAGTCCAACAGCTTTGGCTACCCTACAGTCTTTGTTGTGTCCACCCAGTCTTTTATATCTCCCATGTAAAACCTGCCTTACGTTCACCCCATTCGCCCCCTGCGTCTATACCCCTGGCCTTCACCATTAGAGGATTTTGAATTCCACATGGCGCAGGCGAGGATTCCAGTACTTGGTGGACTGGGAGGGACACACTCTGTAAGAGGGATGTTGGAACTTTGGTTGTGTTTGGTTGTTCCTCTTTCCTTTTTTTCTAATCAATAAACATTATTCAGCCGCATACTTTGCGGTTGGGCCCCATTTCCTGTTCCCTGACACATATAGTAAATATGATTTTAAATGTTCCTTTTGTGTTAATTTAGTAAGAAAGCAGTAAATGGTCACCATGTATAGATCAGGGTTCCTCAAATTCAACCCTGGAAGACCACATCCCTGCAGAGTTTAGCACCAACCCAAATCAAAGACACCAGGGCAAGCTAATCAAGGTCTTCAGAGTTACTAGAAAATTACAGGTAGGTGAGTTTCATCAGTGTTTGAGCTATATTCTGCAGGGCAGTGGCCCTCCAGGGCTGAATTTGAAGAACCCTGGTCTAGATTATTATAATTTAATTGTAGTTGATTTTAATAATTATATAAGTAAATAATTTGTTTATGTACCTTGTAACAATAGCTGTTCTATCCAGATAATTTTTGGAAGACCAGGTCTTAAAAAAACAAACATACACTTTTTAAAAATGTTTCAAGAACAAATGCAAAAATATTAAGACTAATATCCGGTCAAAATTTGGCAAAATATACTGTCTTAAAAGAAAATCATTGTTTCTAGTTTTCACATGTTTTGTTCAGTTACATTCATGTCCAGCAAATAACACTCAATATCCACCTTATTCCTGACGAGTTTACTGCGGTTTGAATTATGGGTCACACTTCCGGTTTGGGGAACTTCCATTCAAAAAGACTGAAACGAATAATTCCAAATCATAAGGTTGCCCTACAAATAAAGCTGATCCGTCAGTTTGACTGGATGAGCTGTCAATTTCCCTTCATGATTTATTTTCAGACATCATGAGAATAACGTTACACTTGGTATTTTAACGTGACATGTTATAACAAGAATTCGTTTCCTCGTGATAATTTTCTTTTTTCCCTTTGCATTTCGCTGTTATAGTATGAAAGAATGACAACATATACTGCACATTTGTGGTCTGTTCTCCCGATTTGGTTTACGACATAGGCCTATCCCATTAATAATTCACTGGAATGGAATCTGAAAATCACTTTGAAATAGTATCACACAATGCTGAAGTTAATGAACATTTGTGATTAAGGCACAGCATGTTACATAATAGAGATATGTATAATTATATACCCGTCTGTTATTGCCGTGGAAAGAATCTCGGTTATTGGGGTTATTTATAGTCTCTTTTTGAAAGTACCTTGTTGATTTTACACTTTTAAATGTCCTTTAAATGTTCGATGGTTGAAGGGTGAGTAGAATAATATCATCTCATTGTACCCAACGTACAGAAAAAAACATATAAAAAAAATTGCGTTCATAAAGCGAGCCTTTCACTGATTGTTTACAGCTTAGCGGAAGTTACATCCATAATTCACGCAAAGCGTCATGGGGCATGGGAATAAGGTGGATAGGAAATTTTTTTTTTGTTTAAATTGTATTTTTGCTTGACACCAGAGTGTTGATGAGCAGAACGCATATTGGCTAGCTTTAATGACTTCAAAAATGATTGTGGGTGTTATTGATTTTTTTTTTTTTTTTGTGCATAACAGATTTATGTATATTTTAAAAATACATCACAATAATCAAATGGTTTTTGAAGTTGTCTTTACTTATAGTAAGTAAACTAACTTAAACATTGACCAATAAAATTTTTTTTTTGTTGAACTCATATTATAGCTAATGTAGCTGTTATTTATGGTAAAATTAAGTTGCAAAAAAGCAACCAAAAAACGCAAATAAAAAACATTTACCTATATTAATACAATTTTGGCTTGTATCTGAGAAAATATATTGATTAAGTATGGTATGTTCTTTATAATAAATAAACAATGTATTGTTATAATGTATTGTCTTTGGGAAAAGAAATATTTGTGATCAATATTAAATCGAAATTTAAAGTTTGATCCAAACCATAAATATAATTAGAGAAAAACTAATAAATCTTTAATCACTTTAATCAAATTAAAGTTTTTTTTTTAAGTTGGTCCAAAGTATATATTTTTTCAGGGCATACTTCAATTGTATTATTTAATTGCCACTTTAAGTGACAAAAAAACTTTCAAGTAAAAAATTGACTTTCTGAGTTGAATGGAAAGCAGCATAGCAAAGCTAGTTAATGCATTAGAATAACATAAAACCATCGTCTAACACTAATGAAATGTGCTTAATTTTGCTGTGAGAACCCCACAGATCTACGACCACATTATCCTTCATCCTAGGCTTCAGGTGTTCAACACTTAAACACTGCAGTGCTCACATAGCCGTCTATGATCCTTCACAATCTGCAAGGACACTTACCATTAAGACTCCAAAGGACCACCAGTCAGCACTTTGAGTGTGACCTCGTCTATTGACAACCTCTGGGGCCATGTACTCGATCGTCCCACAGAACGAGTACGCTCGTTTGTCATGGTCAATTGCCTCTTTGCTCAGGCCAAAATCTGAGAGAGCAGAGAATATATTAAACCATCAACATACGGCCCCTTTAGTCGATGGCAAATGTTGGATCGTGGCGAAAGCAAATAAACAAAATTTTGCTCACCTGTGACCTTTATGTGGCCTTCTTCATCAAGGAGAATGCTGGGAAGGTGAAGCAACAGTCGATTACATTTCATTTCTATATAACTGTATAGAGAGCAGCTACAGAATTAAAATTAGAAAGAGAGGACATTTACTAGTTATTTATAAAAGTACAAACCTCTATATATCAATAACATCTCAGAAAGACTTAGTTGTTTATGTATGCACAGAAATGCCACAACTTGCCATATTAATATAGTAATAAATATTTATAATAAGGAATTATATTCAATAACATAAAGAAAGAATTATAATGCAGAATATTCGAAATATGCTTTAGTATTAAATTAAATATTGGATTCACTGAATTATCCATGAAAAGACATTAAAACTGATTATTAAAATATAAACCATTTAGTCTGCTACTGTATAAGATTTTGGTCAAACTGCCCATCCCTACCGCTACACCGACTTTTATTGATAATTATGTTTATTTTCAAGAACAAATATATTATTTTGTACAGAAACCATGCTTTTTTATTTTTTTTATTTAAATGTCTCCCCTACTAACCCAGACCATACTGCCTTAGAAGAAATCAATTAAACAGTGACACTTATTAAAAAATAAGTGAATACAATTAAGAATTATGATACATTTAAGTAAATATCAGAGGATATGAGAGTTCAACAAGGTAAATGCTACACTTTTTAATTTTGCAGGGGAGACAAGATTGAGGATGACCCTGTTCGGTCCCACTTTATATTAAGTGGCCCTAATACCTGCGAACTTACATGGTACCTAGATATGTACTTAGTATGTAACTACAGTGTAAATACACATTGGTACATAGTATTTACAACTGTAATATTTGTGTAACTACACATATGTAACAACCCACGGAAAGGTATGTGTAAGTACAAATGTGTAACAGGACATTGGTAACAACACTTTTTCCACTACAGTAAGTACACATGTGTAACAGGCATTATGTAACTACATTTTGTAACAACAATATGTATTCACACAAGTTGTTCCACTTCCACACGCAGTCTTCCATACTGTAGTTACCAGTTAAGAACACACTGAAACCATGATGATTCCTATGTGTATACCATGTATTTACTATATGACCGGCAGGACTTATGTTGAATTGCAGCTAAAGTTTTCCCTTGTGGTACCAGTGTACATCCATGATAACTCCTCAGGAACTGTCCACTTAATATAAAGTGTAAAATGGTCATAACTTACTGTGTATTATGCAAAACCCAAACCTCTGTGCAACTGTACTAGTGTACTTACATGGTAACTCCTCAGGAACTGTCCACTTAATATAAAGTGTAAAATGGTCATAACTTTCTGTGTATTATGCAAAACCCAAACCTCTGTGCAACTGTACTAACAGTGTACTTACATGGTAACTCCTCAGGAACTGTCCACTTAATATAAAGTGTAAAATGGTCATAACTTACTGTGTATTATGCAAAACCCAAACCTCTGTGCAACTGTACTAACAGTGTACTTACATGGTAACTCCTCAGGAACTGTCCACTTAATATAAAGTGTAAAATGGTCATTACTTACTGTGTATTATGCAAAACCCAAACCTCTGTGCAACTGTACTAACAGTGTACTTACATGGTAACTCCTCAGGAACTGTCCACTTAATATAAAGTGTAAAATGGTCATTACTTACTGTGTATTATGCAAAACCCAACCCTGTGTAACTGTACTAACAGTGTACTTACATGGTAACTCCTCAGGAACTGTCCACTTAATATAAAGTGTAAAATGGTCATAACTTACTGTGTATTATGCAAAACCCAACCCTGTGCAACTGTACTAACAGTGTACTTACATGGTAACTCCTCAGGAACTGTCCACTTAATATAAAGTGTAATTGTTAGGGTCATTGTTGTGTACCACAGTAAATGCAAAACACAAGGTTACATAGTGGATATTAAACTCTGAAATATAAATGTGATAGTTATGCTTTGATAGATTCTGGGATATTACGGCATAGCACTTTTAAAGAATTACTCTTTATTTTAGATTTTTTTTATTTGACATTGTGGTGACCTATTTGCCTTTACAGTAAATTACAGTGTTCTGTAAACAATAAACAAGAATAGCCTACACTTTAAAACCTTAAAAATACCTTGTTTAATCGTTTAACCATTTTGTAGTATTTAGTTCATTTACCGTGAGACACAAAAAGCGTTTTCTCCAATAAAACACAACATAAATTCACAAAAAACATAAATTGTATTAGCCTGATGTAATCCAAATCTTTAGAATCCATACGTTGTTTGCAAGAAACCGATCCAAATTCAGCCCTTTATGATCTTGAATCATCTCCATTTCTCAGCAGCGACCGCAAACGTCAAATCCCGCGCTCAGGCGCGCTGGTGATGAATTCAAATAAAAAAAATGCGCCTTCAAGAAGCGTTACGACATGTTTTACGGCTGTGATGTCAAACGCTCATTGGCTCTCGCCTGCTTCGTCACAGATTGCGACATGCCGTGTTTCAGTCGGTGTAGTAGTACATTTGAAATGGAGAAGCGCGCGCGCCTTCACCATTGCCTTCACAGAGCGAACCAAAACCGGATTAACATTTTCATGGATTAATAATTTATACTCTGATCTGTACCTCATACACAACTATTATAATACTGCCAGAGAGGACTGCGGCTGCAACGCATCATCATGTGAACGACTTTTGGTACCGGTTTGTTTACATTTTCGCAATAAACAAATTATTGTGAAATTTATAACGTTACTTGTCTGTCTGTTATGTTTTTATTTTCTTCATAAGTGTAACGTTAGCCTACGTAGTTTTAAGGAATGGTTATGGGTAGGTTTAGGGGTATGAGTAGGATTAGTGGCTCAAAATATAGTTTAATGCTATTAAAACTATGAGAGGTTTGGGTTTGCTGAGATGGTCTCTGTTATGACAGTTTTACACTTTAAATTAAGTGGACAGTTCCTGAGGAGTTACCATGTAAATACACTGTTAATACAGTGTTGCACAGAGGTTTGGGTTTTGCATAAAACACAGTAAGTTATGACCGTTTTACACTTTATATTAAGTGGACAGTTCCTGAGGAGTTACCATGTAAGTACACTGTTAGTACAGTTGCACAGAGGTTTGGGTTTTGCATAATACACAGTAAGTTATGACCATTTTACACTTTATATTAAGTGGACAGTTCCTGAGGAGTTACCATGTTAGTACACTGTTAGTACAGTTGCACAGAGGTTTGGGTTTTGCATAATACACAGTAAGTAATGACCATTTTACACTTTATATTAAGTGGACAGTTCCTGAGGAGTTACCATGTTAGTACACTGTTAGTACAGTTGCACAGAGGTTTGGGTTTTGCATAATACACAGTAAGTTATGACCATTTTACACTTTATATTAAGTGGACAGTTCCTGAGGAGTTACCATGTAAGTACACTGTTAGTACAGTTGCACAGAGGTTTGGGTTTTGCATAATACACAGTAAGTTATGACCATTTTACACTTTATATTAAGTGGACAGTTCTTGAGGAGTTACCATGTTAGTACACTGTTAGTACAGTTGCACAGAGGTTTGGGTTTTGCATAATACACAGTAAGTTATGACAGTTTAACACATTGTATCAAGATGTTGCCTGAGGAGTGACCATGTATGTACACTGGTACCACAAGGGAAAACTTTAGCTGTAATTCAACATAAGTCCTGCCGGTCATATAGTAAATACATGGTATACACATTGGAATCATCATGGTTTCAGTGTGTTCTTAACTGGTAACTACAGTATGGAAGACTGCTTGTGGAAGTGGAACAACTTGTGTGAATACATATTGTTGTTACAAAATGTAGTTACATAATGCCTGTTACACATGTGTACTTACTTTAGTGGAAAAAGTGTTGTTACCAATGTCCTGTTACACATTTGTACTTACACATACCTTTCCGTGGGTTGTTACATATGTGTAGTTACACAAATATTACAGTTGTAAATACTATGTACCAATGTGTATTTACACTGTAGTTACATACTAAGTACATATCTAGGTACCATGTAAGTTCACAGGTATTAGGGCCACTTAATATAAAGTGGGACCATATGTTCTTAATGAATGTACTGGTGCAGTGTCTTTAGGATTGCCTTTGCCTATTTGCCATTAATCACCTATGACAGGTCTCAGAACAGCGTGCCCTTAAGGAATATAGAGCCCTCCATTGAGGCCACCTCCATTTCAACTTCTAAGATGAGAACCAGACAGAATATCTCTTATATCATTCTGACTTGTATTATTCCCAACAATGAATTTCCCACAAGAGCCAATTCAGTGTGCAGGTGAGCATGGTTTTAGTCCAATTTTTGAGTAGATATGAGAGAGACAAGCCCTGAAAGAGCATTACTGTATAGGAAGGATTATATTAAAGGGATAGTAGTCGTACACGGCTCAACAATAAGGATTTTTTCCCGCTGGTCGGTCAGGGGTGCGTTTACCGAAAGCATCATTAGCCAATATGGTCGCAATTTCCATTGAACTCTATTGGTAACGACGGAACTTGCGACCAGTTGGCTTTGGGAAACGCACCCCAGGCCAGTAGGTGCTGGATGCAATAAAAGTTCTTCAAAATAAGAAAGTTCTAATGGTACATTATAAGAGTCTGAGGAAGTAAAATTTTCTTTCTTATGGACATCTTAATATTCTTGATAAGAATAATATGACATGATTTGACATACTAGCCTACTCATGTGGTCGCCTTGTCTATTACAATAAATTCAATACTTCAACACTGTAAAAGCTTAATGATAAATTCATCCTTTTCTTTAAGAGTTCTCTCAGGCTCTCTATCTGCTGAATACAATTTTTTTTTCTACAGGAGTGCTAAATTATAAAATATTATAGTAGTATGCATTATATATAATAGTTTTAAAGTTTAGAATGTAAGATTTGTTCATTTTTGAAACAAGTCTCTTTTGCTCACCAAGGCTGCATTTAGTTAATCAAAAAATACAGTAAAAACAGTAATATTGTGAATTTAAATTTTTTTTTTCTATTTTTAATACATTTTAAATGTATTTTATTCCTGTGATAGTACGGCTGAATTTTGATCATCATTACTCCAGTCTTCAGAGTCACGATCCTTCAGAAAATCATTATAATCTGCTGATTTTGTGCTCAAAGAAAATTTCTTTGTTTTATCAATGTTGAAAACAGTCGTGCAGCTTAATAATTAATGGAAACCGTGATACAATTTTAATGGAAACTGTGATACATTTTTTTCAGGATTCTTTAATGAATAGAAAGTTCAAAAGAACAGCAAATTTGAAATGTAATCCTTTGTAACATTATAAACATTATATTTAATAGTTATTACTTAAAAAAATCTTACTAAGCCCAAACTTTTGAACAGTAGTGAATGCTGCTAGTTTTATAATGCTGTAATGCTTAATATTTAAAACAACCCAATACATTTTTTTTTCTACAAAATAGTAGTTCAGAATGTTATTTCCTAAGAATGTACTTGCCCTGACAGCATTTTCACCAAAAGGTTTATTTTTCATTATTACCACATTTATGTATATCTGTCAGAAAAAAAAAATACTATAACTTTCTTTTAACATTTTTCCTTTTTTTCGTAACTCAAGAAGGTAAATGATGGCATACACATTATACAGATTACAGAACACATGTTTAAGGATCAAAAACAAGTATGATCAATAACCTTCAACACCAATAAAACTCTCACTCTCACTGTCATCCTTATTGTTGAGCCCTGTACATATTTCAGTCTAATGTAAGGGGAAAAGCTTTGACAAGCACTCTGAAGGACAGAAGACAGATGTAACTGCATAAAAGCAGGAGCAGCACAGGAAGCTCTCTGGTTAGTTGCATCACCCAGTTTGAACCTCTGAATTATGACTGTAATTACATGAGAGTTTCACAGAGATCTCTTTGACTCTAATCCAGATGTGGATTATACTGCTGCTTGAAAAAACAGGACTTAAACCCTCCTGAACATCACGTCCTATCAAGGTTCGGCTGAGGTTATCAACACAAGGTCACTCTTGTGACCGTACAGGCATAAGGTCACTATCTAGGCTAGGGCACTTAAATAGGCTACAGTGTAAATTAGAACACATGATAGCTATTTACTGATAATATACATGGGGCTTGGTCTTACTTCTCTGGTTTTAGATCTCGGTAGATGATGCCCAGACTATGAAGATGATCCAAAGCCAAGGCCAGCTCAGCCAAATAGAACTTCACATCTTCTTCGGTAAACATAACCTAGAGAGAAAAAAATATCATAACTAATTTTTCATTTAGCTGTTGCTTTTACAGAAATACAAATCCTCTTAGGATTAGGGATTTGAACAAGACCAGTACATTTCGTCATGTAACTCGTCCGGCACAGTTTGTGCTATGGACATCAATGATACCTCAAACCATGCAGCTTATTGAGGGGAGGTGTGTTATTACTTTTTCTCAGAAATCAGACTTATGACTTTCGCCTGATGAAAAATATCCCACACACTACAGACTTGTGGGTGGGCTCTTTTTGAATTTTGTAAAGCAAACACCCAGCAACCCCATAGCAACTCCCTGGCAACCATCCACAACACCACTTGTGATATAAAAATCTAGTTTTTCAATTACCTGATGCTTTTCCTCAAAACTTACAGTAAAGGTTATTACAAAGACAATCCTCTTGGGCTTTTGTAGATAAATGTCTGTCTCAAACACTAGTTTTCACCTCAATGTGAAATGATGATCAGTCATTGCGATATTGCTTTAAAAATATTCCAGATCACTTCTTAAAATAGTATTATCAATTCGCTATGTTCTGAGTTATAACTTAATGACTATTTAGCAAGACTCAACCTGCAGTTTGTAAAATGGGAAATATATTTACGGTAATACACTTAGAATTTAAAACAAAAGCTGGTTGCAAATAACCCAGCATATTCCTTTAATGCAGGACCTGCCCAGAGACAGATCTTAAATAAAACTACAGGAACACAGAGTGTTATTGTATTTGGAAGACCAGAAACTGCTCTTTTCACAGCTAATTTTAATCACGGGAAGATTTATTTAGACTGCGTAGAGAGCATCAGGGGAGAGACAGTGCCATATTGAGGAGCGTACATTGGCGTAACAAGTTCCAGCCAGGAGAGCAGCAGCTGTTGCAGCCAGATGAGACATTTGAGCACCAGCGGTAATTAATTTACGTCTCACTTCCCAAGCATGGTTCTGCTCGGAGAATCACGATTAAATCAAGAGCACAAATCTCTAGGTGGAAGTGCTCCAGTTTCTTTTTTTAATTCCGAGGGACTGATTAGAAGTAAATGTGCAGGAGTTGCTCTTACAGTGCAATGCAACTGTAATTGGTCTATAAACCTTTTTGTCCAATGAAATCTCTAGTGAGATGAGAATGTCCCTCACCTCAAAACCACATACCATTGACTAGCATTAGCAAATAGCCAATCAAAGTTTATGGCTGTTATTTAAAGGCTATTGACTATTTAAAAACAAAAATAGCGTGCAAAAGTGCCCACCCACTTTGTGGGCTTCTGGAATTTTTCCCATTTATTTTTGTTTTGTAGGTCTTTGTTTAAGACTTATAAGCCATGTATCACGCCAACCAGCGTTATAAGAATTATAACATTACTACCTTTGATTTGACGCAAAAAAAAGTATTGGAAAATTGGACAAAATGTCAAAGGTACATGACTGTAAACTTAATGGCTTTAGTGAGGCTAAGAACTACAATCACATGAAGCATTGCGAATGACAATCAAAACAAAAGCGATGGATAAAACAATTGATTTAAATATCGTCACCTTCCTAAAATAATTGCCTAAGTCATTTGAAAATGAAAAGGACTTGGCCAATTATTTTAGGAAGGTGACGATATGTTAATTATGTATATAGAAACATTATATACGTATATACTGTATTGTTTATCGCAAAGTATGCAAATATATACACAATTATTCAATTAGTTTGAGAGCAAAGGGAGACTATTTCATCATTCACAGGGCTTCTTTCGGCATAATTTCCTTGTTTCTATTCTCTGATTGGTAAAAATTTCTTTGCAGAATCATGCAATGTAGTTTTTCTCCTGGACTTCCACTGTTGAATATGATTATTTAAAAAAATAAGTTGAAATAATGCAGGCTGATGGATTCAATTAAGTTATCATTAAAAATCACTTTCTCTACAGAGAAAATAAATGGCATTTTTACTTCCGGAACCCGACTTTTGCACTCCATAACAAGCTCTTTGATATATCCCATTTCAACTTCCTGTTTGAATTGGAATGTTTTGCAATGCAGGAAAGAAAACTGTGCATGTCAAGCCTTTTCATGGGGTCTAAACATATACTTGTGAGTCTTTTTGACTGATTCCTTAAACCAGTTCAAAAGAGACATTCATTATATGTTTATTGTATGTATTTATTGTATTGTATGAAGACTGCAAATGTTAAAGTGCATCTATTATGTTATTTTAAAAGTTACTAATTTTGTTTTGGAGGTCCCCTCCAATAGGTTTGCATGCATTTAAGGTCAAAAACACTTTTTTCTGTACACTGCAGGATCGCATCTTTTCTCACATTGTCTGAAACGTTTCAATCATCGATCCGGTCTCTCTAAACCCCTCCTTTCCAAGCGCCTACTCAGCTCTGATTGGTCAGATGGCCCGGTCTGCTGTGATTGGTCTACAGCTTACAGCACATGTCAGAAATGAAACACCCATTGCTATATCTGAATTTTAGCTCTGGAAACTTCCTCAGCATTTGTGTACACACAGTGACATGAACAGTCACAATGGTGTCGATTCTACCATATAAATTTGAGTCAGAGTACCATAATGAAACATTGGAAGAAGTAGCTGATCAACCTAAACCAATCGGAAGAACGGCTTGAGCATGACGTTTCTAATTTGTTCGTTTTTTTTTTAGATTGTCTTACATTATAGATGAAATGTTCGCATTCTCATCCTTTGGAATTGCATGCTAAGTGAGAGAGCTTCTCTTTTCTAAAAGAGCTGCACGGGCATGTCTTTTTAAAGATGTCTCACCCGTGTGTTTCTGGATGTGGGCACATGATCCATCCGCCTGACGGTCACGAGCGCTGTCTAGCGTGTTTGGGCTTTAATCACGCTCAGACAGCGCTTGTGGATGAGCCATGTTCTCATTGCGGGAACATGACCATCGCGGTGTTAAGATCGAGACTCAATGACCTCCGTGGGGGTAGAGTCCCCTCTACCACACCCCAATCTATCTCTTCCTTGAGAGGGGATACTTTGGCTGGTGGCCAGGGTGATCTGAGGGTTACGGTGTGGAAAAACCCGACGAGTCTTCCTCGGGCCAAGCCTCCCTGCATATCGCACACCCTGGAGCTTCCGGGTGAATCTGGTTCCTCTCGGGGACCCAGTGTTTCATTCGGGGCTCCGGCGGATGACGCCATGTCGCTCACAGCGTCAAAAGGCGGGCTTGATTCAGGATTCGGCTGCGTTGCCTCCCTTGGGAGTGCCAGCGTTAGCCGAGTCTGATGCAGAACTGACGGCCATGCTTGCCCGGGCAGCTGAAAGCATCGGGTTGGAGTGGTGCCTGTTGGATGGCTGGATGATTGGTTCCTGGGGGCGGCACGTGCTGGCACCCCCCAGTGCCCTTCTTCCCGGAGTTGTATCAGGAGGTCACCAGCTCGTGGAAGTCCCAGTTGACTTCTCGCGGCCCGGCGGCGTCCTTCGCCTTCTCTACGCTCGATGGCGCGGCGGCCAACGGGTACACTGGGGTCCCACCGGTGGAGTGCGCTGTGGCGATGCAACTGTGTCCCCAGAGCGCCTCCATCAGGCGTGGCGACCCAAAGCACCCATCCAACGCCTGTAGGTTCTCCGCCACTCTCGTGCCTCCACCCTGCATGCCATGACCATCCTTCAAGGCAAAGGTGCTCAGGGACATGCATGAGGGCACTGCCACCGACCTCGCTCCACGGGCGACGAAGGTCATTGCGCGATCCCTGGGTCAGGTGTCCACCTGTGTGGTCCAGGAACGTCATCTGTGGCTCAACCTGGCTGATATGCGGGAGGCTGAGAGAACTCGTTTTCTCAACTCCCCCATATCCCAGGCTGGGCTCTTCGGCGGTGCGGTCGAGGGCTTCGCCCAACAGTTTTAGTCCGCCCAGAAGCAGACTGAGGCGATAAAGCATATCCTGCCCCGACGGCCAGCTGCTGCCTCCACCCAGCCATCGGTGCAGCCCCCTCAGTCTGCTTCCCGCTGGGGCTGCCCTCCTGTGGCTCCCGCCCCTCCTGCTCGGCGCAAGCAGCAGCTTTCACCGGGCCAAAGCAAGGAGGTGGTCGCAGGAAGGCGGCACAGCCCGTCTCCGGCCCTAAGCCTGCCAAAAGCCAGGCTAAGCGGCGCTCCTGAGACGGGCAGCTCGGAGCTAGGGCTCAGTTCTCGAGAAAACCGGGTTTCCTGGCATGTTGTGTGTCAACAGATGCCTCCACCATGGGCTGGGACCCCAGCACCTATGGCATGTCAATTGCCTCGAGTTGCTGGCCATACGTTTAGCTCTGCACTGTTTTCGGACGTTGCTGGAGGGCAAGCACGTACTGGTCCGTTCAGACAACATGGCGACAGTAGCATACATCAACCATCAGGGTGGTCTGCGCTCCCGCCGTATGTCACAACTCGCACACCATCTCCTCTTATTGAGTCAAAAGCATCTGAGGTCGCTTTGCGCCATTCACATTCCTGGGAGAGCTGTCCATTCCTGTCCACGAGACAAGCCTACGCTCTGAAGTGGAACCTCTTCGTCACCTGGTGTTCTTCTCGCCGAGAAGATCCCAGAAAATGCCCAATCAGGTCTGTGCTCTCCTTCCTCCAAGAGGGGTTGGAACGAAGGCTGCTCCTTCCAACCTAAAGGTTTATGTGGCTGCGATCTCTGCGCACCACGACATTGTGGAGTCTAAGATGGTAGGACAGCATTACCTGGTCATCAGGTTCCTTAGGGGGGCCAGGAGGTTAAATCTTCCCCGCCCCCCTCATATGCCCTCTTGGGACCTCGCAGTGGTTCTATCTGCACTGCAGATAGCTCCCTTCGAGCCATTGCACTCAGTTGAGCTCATGTACCTCTCTATGAAGACGGCGCTCCTTGCTGCTTTGGCCTCCTTCGAGATGGTAGGGGACCTGCAGGCATTTTCGGTTGACGAAGCGTGCCTGGAATTCGGGCCGGCTAACTCTCACGTCATCTTCAGACCCCGGCCTGGATATGTGCCCAAGGTTC